ATCTAAGTTCAAGGGGGACATAATTCTGGAAATAGTCTTGCTAGAGTATTTAACCTTCTTAAAAATGTTGAGTGATAATAAGAAACATATATATGAAGTTTGAAGTAGATACATTAGGAAATAAAGAAGTTATTTAAAAAAGACATTTTTTTTTTTCATAAAAATTTTAAGTTCAAGGGAGGTAATACTGATAATTTCTGTGCTAGAGTTGTAAACCTTGTCACATATAATGTGGTTGATGACCAGAAACTTATATTTAAAGTTTGAAGTAAACACCTTAAGAAATAAAGAACTTATAGTGAAAAAGCTGAAAATTTAAATCAGAAATCTTGAAATTCAGGCTATTTGTTGCCATAGCAACCAGAATTTTCAACATAAGAAGAAAAGAAAAAGATGTGCATAATCTCCAGACTGCCATCTACCCATATTTTAAGTTTCATAAAAATATTTTCAGTACTTTTTGAGTTATCACTGGATCCAGTCTATGTGTTAAATTTGCCATATTTTCAGACTATTTGTTGCCATAGCAACCAGAAGTTTCAACCTAGGAAGAAAAGAAAAAGACGTGCATAATCTCCATACTGCCATCTATCCATATATCAAGTTTCATAAAAATATTTTCAGTACTTTTTGCGTTATCGCGGGAACCAGTTTTGTGGACGGACGGACTGACCGACTGACAGAACAGACGGACGGACAGACAGCCGGACGGAGGGTTAACCTAAAGTCCCCTCCAGTTAAACCGGTAGGGGACTAATAAAGACTTATTTAAAGAGGCAACATAGTTATGAAGTAAAGAAGTTACAGTAAAAAAATAGTATTTTTTAAGGAAAATTCTAAGTTCAAGGGGAGATAAATCTTAAAATATTGGTGCTAGAGTTATGAACCTAGTCACATAAGATGTGGTTGATGATAAGGAACATATATTTGAAGTTTGAAATTAATACCTTAAGAAATGACAAAGTTATAGTGAAAAATATTTTACTGCACCAAAACTTTAATCTGAAATCTGGACGCGGACGCCGGGGCAAGTAGGACAGCTCTCCATATACTTCGTATAGTTAGGCTAAAAATAGTTAATAATAGTCACTTTTGCTAGCCAGAGTTCAGCCCAGGATAAGAGAGCCACCTGTATAAGAGAGACACTTTTACAAATTCCCAATACTGTCTCTCTTATACAGGTTTGACAGTATTTTATCACCTTTAGTGACCTTGCATATATCAACCTAAATTACATGTTTCACACCCAAAGTCATAATAATGACCATTTGCGATTCAATCCCTCAATAGATGATGACTAAATTGTCAAAATACACATTTTCATATCTATATCTGAACTCTGATGTCAATGTTTGACCTTGACCTTGGCTGCAGGGACCTAATATTGCACATGACACTCCGCCTCACAATGGAGAACATTTGTGCCAAGTTATATTGAAATCCCTCTATGCATGTAGAAGTTTTGCTCCAAACGTGTTTTTCAATGACCGTTAAGTGTGACTTTGACCTTTGATCTAACAACCAAGTTCATGTGCTCGAAAAAGCTTCTCATATGTAGTTTCATTAAAAATTTTCTATGTGTGTAGGAGATATGCTCCGGACAAAATTGGATGCAGCAAAATCAATAGGGGTTGCCTAATGGTTATGATCAACCTCCATGCCAAATATGGAGACTGTGGATCAAAGGATTCTTAAGTTATTGGGCGGAATAATTTTTGAAGTCAAGGCCCCCTGTGACCTTGACCTTTGATCCAGTGACCTGAAAATCAATAGAGGTCATCTAAAGGTTATGACTAACCTCCATGCCACAAATAAAGACAGTGGGTCAAAGGATTCTTAAGTTATTGGGTTGACAAGCTTTTTTTAGTCAAGGCCCTATTGACCTTGACCTTTGGCCTAGTAACTTCAAAAATCAATAGGGGTCATCTACTTGTAATAACCAACCTCAATACCAAATATGAAGACTGTTGACCAAAGCATTCTTAAGCAATTGAGCGGACAAGCTTTTTGAACTTAAGACCCCTGTGACCTTTGGCCTCAAAATCAATAGGGGTCGTCTAACAATCATGACTAACCTCCATGCAAAACTTAAAGACTATGGGTCAAATAAAAGATTCATAAGTTATTGGGCTGACAAGCCTTTTTTATTCAAGGTCCTATGAGCTTTGACCTCAAAATCATCACCAATCTCAATACCAAATAACAAGACTGTGGGTCAAAGAAATCTTAAGTTATTGGGCGGACAAGCTTTTTAGTTAAGGCCCATGTGACCTTGACTTTTAACCCAGTGACCTCATAATCAATAGGGGTCATCTACTAATCATGACAAACCTCCATGCCAAATATGCAGACTGTGGGTCAAAGGATTTTCCAGTTATTGGGCAGACAAGCTTTTTTGAGTCAAGGCTATTCTGACCTTGACCTTTGACCCAGTGTCCTAAAACCAATAGGGGTCATCTACTAACCATGATCAATCTCAATAACAAATATTAAGACTGTGGGTCAAAGGAATCTAAAGTTATTGGGCGGACAAGCTTTTTTGAGTCAAGGTCCCTGTGACCTTGACCTTTGACCTCATGATCGGTCATTAAATAATCATGACTAACCTTAATGCCAAATATGAAGACTGGGTCAAAAGTTTCTTAAGTTATTGGGCGGACAATATTTTTTTAGTCAAGGCCCTTCTGCCATGGACCTTTGACCCAGTGACCTCAAAATCAATAGGGGTCATCTACTTATCATGACAAACCTCCATGCCAAATAAGCAGACTGTGGGTTAAAGGATTCTTAAGTTATTGGGTGGACAAGATTTTTTTAGTAAAGGCCCCTGTGACCTGACCCTTGACCCCATAATCAAAAGGGGTCATCTACTAATCATGACTAACTTTCATGCTAGGTATGAAGACTTTGGGTCAAAGGAATCTTAAGTTATTGGGCTGACAAGGAAAAACCACCGGATGGCCGGACAAGCTGTTTACAGTATACCCCACTTACAACTTATGCACAACAAACTTACAGTCTGGAAATGATTGTTACGTAAGTAGAGACGCATTGACAGACATGTAGCTTTAGCATTTGTGCCAAGTTATTTCAAAATCCTTCAATGCATGACAGTTACAGTATGGACATCTTCAAACTCTTCTTGAGAAAATGAGTACATTTAAAATGTAAGTGAGACCTTGACCTTGTAGGGAGGGACATGGGTCTTAAATGCTACATGTCGTCTTCGAATGTCAGACATAATACCCTTCGGACAAAATCTCCTTCCCATACCCGGACAAAATCCCCTTTATGGGTGGACATAACCCCCTTCGTGTTTTTGCAAGGCTGGACAAAATCCCCTTCACTACCCGGACAAAATCCCCTTGTATAATGTATTATTATGCTCCATAAAAATTGATTAATAATGTATTATTATGCTCCATAAAAATTGATGAATAATGAACTTTTGTTTTTTTATTTATAATTATGTATCAATAGTAAACCTTTATTTAGTTTAGAAGTTCAAATTATCAACTGCATAACACATATTTGATTAGGCAATTTATTTAATTGTTTTAAATTGATTAGTATGATAAACATTTTTATTAGCCAATAATTGTTTCATTGATTGTATAAGATGATACTTCTAATTGATACATATTATCCATTGTTAAAATTTCTATTGATGAAAGAGTGATAATATAATCAAACCAAGATCTGACACTGCACTGATTGATTGCTATGAATGCTTTAACAAAGCAATTTTAATGTGATCAAAATGTGCTAATTGAATGTGCTTTTCTGCTGAAATATTTTCTTTTTATTTATACATTAAGATATTTACCACACAGCATAATGCAGTATGGCGCTCTCATACCCACTTTATAAACCGAAAAAATTTCTCTGAGGGGGATTTTGTCCTAGGTAGCAATTTTATTGAGGGGATTTTGTCCACTTCAAAATTTCACACATGAAGGGGATTATGTCCAACCATGGAGGGGATTATGTCCAGATATACAAAAATACATGAAGGGGATTTAATGTCCGAAGGGGATTATGTCCGTACACCGTCGTCTTCATGTGGTAGACATTTATGCCAAGTTATTTTCAAATCCTTCAAATCATGCTGCTTAAAACTCAATTCATGGACATTTCTCACAACACTTACTTTATGGAAATTACTCACTGCACATCATACCCTTTGTTGAAATTTCTCAATGAAATACACCTACTTTGTGATCATTTAATTTTTATCACTAAAGATCACTCACTAATTAGTTCAAGCTTGACTGAGAATTTCTTCAAATGCAAGAATATCCCAAACAAGAAAGAAACAAGCAAGTCAAAAGTTTAAAATATGAGTACAGTAAAAACCCTCTTTACGACCACCCCGTTTTCAAGACCAACCCTCTAAAAGACAATTTTTAAAGACCCGATATTTTCATTCTTTATTTTAATGGTCGCTAACCCCGATTTTGAGACCACCCCGTTATTCCCTAATACGACCAGTAAATTAAGTCCCATTTCGTAAATTCTGTACATTTGGAAACCCATAAATAAGACAACTGGCACTTTCTCACCTTGATATTGACATGCATGTATATTACTGAAATCTTTTTGACATGTAGTGTAAACAACAGTTGTCCTAGTTTTACGACATTTAACGACATCCAATTTACGGCAGAGGTCAAGGTTACTTTGTATCAAACCCGGAAATGATCAATAATCTTGTCAAAAATTTCATAATTTCACACCTTTAATGTCATAACTGGAGGATTAAAACAACAAAATATTGAACAGAAAACTTTCAATAAGTTTTTTTTGGAGGTGTTGCTGCTATCATTATCATTTTAAACAAACATAAACATAGTACAATTAGGTTTTTGAAGTTGTTATTGGCGATGAACACTGTGAAAATAATTAAAGGTTAATTGTTCTGTGTGCTTTGTAGTAAAATGGTGATGTAATTGAGCAAGTCATGTCATTCTTTTAACAAGAATGTAATAATAATTTGTGTTTAAAGACATTCATAATACATTTTTTACCTCTAAATAAGTTTAAATATTTTATAATGTTTAAAAGTAAAAGAAAATAAATGAAAATAAAAAAATAATAGTGTATGCTTTATATCTTCTCATTTGAAATAGGTTAGCCCAGAATTAAACATGTGTACAGTACATGGTATCCCTAAATAAATTGCCTAGTTTTCTGTTTGACCAAACTCATTAATGAGACCAACCCGCTTTTAAGACCAGATTTGTAAAGTCCCTTTATTGGTCTCATTAGCGAGTTTTTACTGTATAAACTACTCAGGAACAGAGGACCTTACCTTTCTTACTATAAAACAAACCTTTTAAGTAACTGTAAAACATGAAAAGATGTTCAAAAACTTACTTGATAATCACATCAAAGCCTACATTTGGCAGCACCTTTATATTCATACAATTAACTGACTCTAAAGCTACAACATCTATATGTCTATTTCCAATTCCAAGATTTCTTCCATAAAATGTTACTTTTGTTCCACCAGCAATGGGTCCAGATAAAGGACTCATACCTGTCAACTTTGGAGTCTGTAAAAAAGAAATAATGCTGTTTCTTACACATTTAATTATTTCATTATTTGTTTTAAACCAGTATAGTAATGGCAAATAATCTTAAAAAACTTAAAAAGTTATGATCAAATTTAAAGTTTGCTTGGACGGCAACAGCAATGGGAACAATGACATGACTCGTTACAAAACCTTTTTTTTTCTTTCTTTTTTGCAAAGAAAAAAAAAGTTTCATTAGAACTGGTATTTTTTCAATAAAGAAAAATAAATATTTGAAATATAATCACTAAACAGCTTCTAATTATTCAAAATATTAAACTTATTTCAAAGAGAAACCTGAAATCAAAGTCCATTACTGATGATTCCATCAAGAATTCATTGCAGATTTAATTTCAATACAAAAGTAGCTTATATTTGATCTTCTTCTTGTTCATGGTATCAAGAATTTGCATTGTAAATGTAATTGATGATAAGGAAAAAGTATTTGAAGTTTGAAGTAGATATTTACTTTAAAACTTAAGTTATAGTAAAAAAATAACATTTTTAAGTAAAAAGATCTAAGTTTATGGGGAGATAATTTTTGCAATATTGGTGCTAGAGTTATGAACCTTAACACATAACATGTGGTTAATGATAAGGTACATATATTTGAAGTATGAAGTTGATCCCTTAAGAAACAAGAATTTGTAACAGAGTTACCAACGTCCCCTGCCTCAGGGAAGTTTTATATGAAGGATAACATTATGCTATATCAAAAGAATATGGTATAGATCTTAGGACTTTCAGTGCAGAATTATGATCAATGCTAGATCTGCAAATGCTACAATAAATTTATAAAAGAAATAAAATGAAACACAGAATTTAAAAATCTATCATATTTGACTTTGACCTCTAAGTGTGACCTTGACCTTGGAGGTAAGGGTGCAAGTGTTGTGCATGACATATTGTCTTGTTATTGTTACTATTTGTGCAAAGTATTTTCTAAATCCCTTAAACTATGAAGAAGTTATAGATCAGACACAAAATATACCCTATAACAGACTATGTTAATTTTTGACTTCTAAGAGAGACCTTGACCTTGGAGGTAGGGATGCAGGTGTTGTGCATGACACATTGTCTTATTATAGTGACTATTTGTGCCAAGTATTTTCAAAATCCTTTCATCTATGAAAAAGTTATGGACCGGACACAAAATATACCTTATAACAGACTATGTTACTCTTTGACCTCCAAGTGTGACCTTGACCTTGGAGGTAGGTGACCAGTTGTTGCGCATGACACATAGTTTGATTATTTTGAACAATTGTAGTAAGTACTTACAAAATGCCTTCAAAGATAAGAAAGTTATGGACCAGACATGACACATACCCTCAAATAGTCAATGTTGACATTGAATGAGCAAGTGTGACCTTGACCCTGGAGGTAGGGGTCTGGTTGTTGTGCATGACACATCTTCTTATTTTAACAAACATTAGTTCCAAGTTATTTCAAATTCCTTTGATAAATGACAAAGTTATGGACCAGACACGAAAGTGTGACGGACAGAGACAGACAGACGGACATACTCACAAAATGGTACTTATGTGACTTATCCTTTGATCTATTTGGCCAATTTTAGTCACACAAGGCTTAAAAAAAAAAACACAAGGAAAAACGATTGTTCTCCAATTCACACAAGTACCTCTGGGTTCGTACGAACATACGGACAGAGCCTATTTCTATCAATCCCCCTTTTTTCTTCGAAAAGGCCGGGACAATGAATAAGTAACAGTAAAAAAAATATTCAAGGGGAGATTAATCTGAAAATATTGGTGCTAGAGTTACGAACTTTGTCATATAAGATCTGGATGATGATAAGGTACATATATTTATAGAATGAAGTTGATTTCATAAGGAAATAGAGTAGAAACAGTAAAAAATAGTATTTTTCAAGTTCAAGGGGCAATGAATCTGAAAATATTGGTGCTAGAGTTATGAACCTTGTCACATAAGATGTGGTTGATGATAAGGAACACATATTTGAAGTATGAAGTTTATCCCTTATGAAATAAAGAAGTTACAGTAAAAAAAGTATTTTTTAAGGAAAATTCTAAGTTCAAGGGGTGATAAATCTGATAATATTGGTGCTAAAGTTATGAATCTTGTCTCATAAGATGTGTTTGATGATAAGGAACATATATTTGAAGTTTGAAGTCGATACCTTAAGAAATGACAAAGTTATAGTGAAAAATATTTTACTGCACCTAAACTTTCCTTAATTTGTATCCATTTGAGTTGAATTTGACAGTTGTTGGGGAAGGTATTGAATGGAAACTGAAAATTTCTTATTTTTTTCAAAGTTAAGGGGCATATCTTGAATCATGACCAAAATAGAACTTCACCTGCATATCCATATCTTAAATTTCAGTTGAATGTGCATAACTGTTTATGAACAGAAACAGAAAATTTCTAAATTTTTTTTTCAAAGTGAAAGGAGCGTTACTCTGCCAAAAATCATTGAACCATGACAAAATTCGAACTTGACCTTTGACTTTTCCATATGTCAGATTTGAGTTGAATGTGTACTACTGTTTGAGTGATATATGAATGGAAACTAAAATATTTCTCAATTTTCTCAAAGTGAAAGGGGCATAACTATGCCAAAAACCATCAGACCATGACCAAATTCAAACTTGTCCTGCACATTCCTTTGACGTATCCATATGTCAAATTTGAGTTAAATGTGTTATACTGTTTGGGAGATAATGAATGGAAATTGAAAATTTCATTAAGGGACATAACTCCATGCATAATGACCATGACCAAATTTGAACTTCACTTGCATATATCCATATGTCCTATTTAAGTTGAAAGTGTGAAACAGTTACCACGATAATGATCAGAAACTGATGATAATGGAAGGATGGAATGACTAAATGACTGAACAGGGTTACACTTCATGCCCAAGCCATATTATGGCGGGACATAATAAAAAAAGCTGTTTTTTCAACAACATAATAAAGATTACTGAAAAGAAATTAAATTCCATATTTACCAGGTTTAACAATGCTTCAATGCATGTTTTATATGTTTTATATGAAAAGAACCAAACCTGATTATGTACTTAAATATGTCAAACAAATGTATATAATAAAACAAACAAACTTATCAGACTATTCATTTATCAAGTTTGAAGAGAATCCCTCAAGTACTTTTGGAGCTACATATATGCTCTAGACAAATTTTTCTTTAAAGTAAATCTGGAAAGGGAAAGTGACTCTAAAATAGGCAATGTAGATTTAGTTTTCTAACTGCACTTCTTACCAATATACTATGACGTCAGTGTATTATTTTTGACGAAAATCCCTCAAACACTTTAGTAGTAGCTATGCTTCGAACAAGTTTTACAAGTAAATCTGATAAAGGGGAATAACTCTATAAGTAGGCAAGGTGGAGGTACTTGCACGATGCACATCTTACCAATGTGCTATGTTAGTGTACTAGTATTGTTTGAAGAAAATCGATCAGGTACTTTTTGGGTAATGCTTCTGACAAAATTGAGATGATCACACAGACTCCCCAAACAAACTTGCTGTTGAACAGACAAATTTGAGTAAGAAACAAGATATGTTTGTAAAACATGTATGCCCCCTATCAGCAGCCAATTAGTCATGTGATAAGGTTATTATACATGACTTCTGACCCAGTGATCAAACAATTAATAAGGGAAATAAAGTATCTACTGGTCATGACCTTGACCTTTGACCCCTTGACCCAAAACTCAATAGGGGTCATCTGCTGGTCACGACCAATCATCACACAAAGTTTGAAGTTCCTAGGCCTAGGCGTTTTTAGTAAATTGATCAGAAACCGTTTTTACCTACAATGTCAATGTGACCTTGACCTTTGACCCATTGACCCCAAAATCAATAGGGGTCATCTGCTGGTCGTCATGACCAATCACCATCCCAAAGTTGAAGTTCCTAGGCCTAAGGGTTCTCTTATTATTGATCGGAAACCGTTTTAACATACAAGGTCAATGTGACCTTGACCTTTGACCCCAAAATCAATAGGGGTCATCTGCTGGTCATGACCAATCACCATGGCAAGTTTGAAGTTCCTAGGCCGAAGCGTTCTTTAGTTATTGATCAGAAACCATTTTTACTTACAAGGTCAATGTGACCTTGACCTTTGACCCCTTGATCCCAAAATCAATAGGAGTAATCTGCTGGTCATGACAAATCACCATACCAAGTTGGAAGTTCCTAGGCCTAAGCAATCTTGAGTTTTTGATCAGAAACCGTTTTTACTTACAAGGTCAATGTGACCTTGACCTTTGACCCCTTCACCTAAAACTCAATAGGGGTCATCTGCTGGTCATGACCAACCATCACACAAAGTTTGAAGTTCCTAGGCCTAAGCGTTTTAAGTTAATTGATCGGAAACCGTTTTTACCTACAAGGTCAATGTGACCTTGACCTTTGACCCCAAAATCAATAGGTCATCTACTGATCATGACCAATCACCATCTCAAGTTTGAAGTCCCTAGGCCTAAGGGTTCTTTCATTATTGATCGGAAACCATTTTTACCTACAAGGTCAATGTGACCTTGACCTTTGACCCCTTAACGCCAAAATTAATAGGGGTCATCTGATTGGTCATAACCAATCACCATACCAAGTTTGAAGTTCCTAGGCCTTAGGGTTCTTTTGTTATTGATCAGAAACCGTTTTTACCTACAAGGTTAATGTGACCTTGACCTTTGACCCCTTGACCCCAAAATCAATAGGGTCATCTACTGATCATGACCAATCACCATACCAAGTTTTGAAGTTCCTAGGCCTTAAGGTTCTTTAGTTATTGATCGGAAACCGTTTTTACCTACAATGTCAATGTGACCTTGACCTTTGACCCCTTGACCCCAAAATCAATAGGGGTCATCAACTGGTCATGACCAATCACCATACCAAGTTTGAAGTTCCTAGGCCTTAAGGTTCTTTAGTTATTGATCGGAAACCGTTTTTGCTTTCAAGGTCAATGTGACCTTGATCTTTGAGCCCTTGACCCCAAAATCAATAGGGGTCATCTACTGGTCATGACAAATCGCCATACCAAGTTTGAAGTTCCTAGGCCTTAAGGTTCTTTAGTTATTGATCGGAAACCGTTTTTGCTTTCAAAGTCAATGTGACCTTGACCTTTGACCCCTTGACCCCAAAATCAATAGGGGTCATCTACTGATCATGACCAATCACCATACCAAGTTTGAAGTTCCTAGGCCTTAAGGTTCTTTAGTTATTGATCGGAAACGGTTTTTGCTTACAAGGTCAATGTGACCTTGACCTTTGACCCCTTGACCCCAAAATCAATAGGGGTCATCTACTGATCATGACCAATCACCATACCAAGTTTGAAGTTCCTAGGCCTTAAGGTTCTTTAGTTATTGATCGGAAACGGTTTTTGCTTACAAGGTCAATGTGACCTTGACCTTTGACCCCTTGACCCCAAAATCAATAGGGGTCATCAACTGGTCATGACCAATCACCATACCAAGTTTGAAGTTCCTAGGCCTTAAGGTTCTTTAGTTATTGATCGGAAACCGTTTTTGCTTTCAAGGTCAATGTGACCTTGACCTTTGACCCCAAAATCAATAGGGGTCATCTACTGGTCATGACCAATCACCATACCAAGTTTGAAGTTCCTAGGCCTTAAGGTTCTTTAGTTATTGATCGGAAACCGTTTTTGCTTTCAAGGTCAATGTGACCTTGACTTTGACCCCTTGACCCCAAAATCAATAGGGTCATCTACTGATCATGACCAATCACCATACCAAGTTTGAAGTTCCTAGGCCTTAAGGTTCTTTAGTTATTGATTGAAACGGTTTTTTGCTTACAAGGTCAATGTGACCTTGACCTTTGACCCCTTGACCCCAAAATCAATAGGGGTCATCTACTGATCATGACCAATCACCATACCAAGTTTGAAGTTCCTAGGCCTTAAGGTTCTTTAGTTATTGATCGGAAACGGTTTTTGCTTACAAGGTCAATGTGACCTTGACCTTTGACCCTTGACCCCAAAATCAATAGGGGTCATCTACTGATCATGACCAATCACCATAAACCAAGTTTGAAGTTCCTAGGCCTTAAGGTTCTTTAGTTATTGATCGGAAACGGTTTTTGCTTACAAGGTCAATGTGACCTTGACCTTTGACCCCTTGACCCCAAAATCAATAGGGGTCATCTACTGATCATGACCAATCACCATACCAAGTTTGAAGTTCCTAGGCCTTAAGGTTCTTTAGTTATTGATCGGAAACGGTTTTTGCTTACAAGGTCAATGTGACCTTGACCTTTGACCCCTTGACCCCAAAATTAATAGGGGTCATCTACTGGTCATGACCAATCACCATACCAAGTTTGAAGTTCCTAGGCCTTAAGGTTCTTTAGTTATTGATCGGAAACCGTTTTTGCTTTCAAGGTCAATGTGACCTTGACCTTTGACCCCTTGACCCCAAAATCAATAGGGGTCATCTACTGGTCATGACCAATCACCATACCAAGTTTGAAGTTCCTAGGCCTTAAGGTTCTTTAGTTATTGATCGGAAACCGTTTTTGCTTTCAAGGTCAATGTGACCTTGACCTTTGACCCCTTGACCCCAAAATCAATAGGGGTCATCTACTGGTCATGACCAATCACCATACCAAGTTTGAAGTTCCTAGGCCTAAGGGTTCTTTAGTTATCACTCGGAAACCATTTGGTCTACGGACCGACGGACCGACAAGTGCAAAGCAACATACCCCCTTTTCTTTGAAATGGGGGCATAATAAAAGAGATCAATTTTTTTTGTTGAAATTAAGGGCCATAACATTTGTTTTACTGCTAAGAAACTTATGAAGTTTATAATCTTTGGTTAGAAACCAAACATTTATGGTTAAATGACTTTACTTTCTTACTTTATAGCTGAATGAAACTGTTTCCGTTGAACTTTGACCATTCACAGTGACAATGACACTTCCATTTTTGTCTCCACCACTATTACCAGTAATGCAAACAATGCTATAAATAAAAATGAAATATCTTAACCAATATTGTTTTATCAATGTTTAGACTAAAATTATAATTTTTTATGCTTTTTATTTGACTTTTACACTCAACCGAAGCTGTATTATCTTATTTTTTTCTTGAACATACAAGCGACTGAATTAAATTAATAACATTTAAGAGACATTATACTTGTTTTTTCTTTGTCAAATTTAGCTGAATTGTATATATATATATATCAAAAGATTGACTGTTACAGCAGTGATTGTCATAACTTGAAATCTGAAAATGTTAAGAAAATTCTACCTATAATACAAAACACCATGCAATATATGTAGACTGTAAACCAGCATTTTTGGTGCAGGTCACTGTGACCTTTTCAGTTGCACTGACCTTCACCTCTGAATTAATAGAAATTAATTGTGGGTGTTTGGTCATTCCTCGAAAAACCTCCCAATAAATTTGAAGATTGAAGGCCTAGGAATCTAGTAACTGATCTATCATCTAACCAACAGACTAGATATTTGTTTTACATTCAATGAAATGTAACATTTACCTGCTGGGAACCTCATTTTTAAAGTATTGCCTGGTTTCATCATCAACAGTAATATTTATTTCTCCACATGTAACTCCAGCTATTTTAATGCCAGATATATCACTTAACTTTGTTCCTAATTCAAAACCTTCAATTATCAATGCTGTGCCACCTGCTTTGGGACCATCTCTAGGCTTAATCTGCAGGAAATAAAATACAATACAAAATATTTGCTTAACACCCTTTATTTTCAAATGTAAATAAACATCTTTTGAAACACAGAAAATATATGCAATGTTTTAAAAGCTACAAACTATTGGAAACAATCTATGAATATAAATTATGAATATGAAGTGTCCTTTAAAAAACCAGCAGATCTATTCAAGAAAAGATCAAATTAACATCACTAGTAATAGGGAATGCAGCTTCCCAAACATAACTTGTGTATTCTCATATTCAAATTAGACAAATTCAGTAAGAATTTCCTAGATGTCAATAAATTTCTGCAATAGTAACAAGAGGGCCATGATGGCCCTGAAGTCGTTCACCTGTATATAGGCCCCCGTAGCGGGGCCAGTTTAAACCCCAGGGCTTTTATTTGAACAAACTTGGTAGACACCCATTAGAAGATGTTTCATGCTTAACATCTAAGGTCCAGCTGGTCAAGTTTTTTCTTTAAACATATAGTTAAAAACAATGACACACCTGGGGCAGGGCCAGTTTGGACCCAAGGGCCTTTATTTGAACAATCTTTGTAGACACTTACTAGAAAGTGTTTCATGCTTAATATCTGAACTCTAGCTATTCAGATTTTTCGAAGAAAATTTGAAGTTTTTGCTATACACATATAAGGAAAATCAATGACCCCCGGGGTGGGGCCAATTTTGACCCCAGGGCTTTTATTTGAACAAACTTGGTAGACACTCACTAGAAGATGTTTCATGCTTAGTATCTAAACTCTAGCTATTTGGTTTTTTTCAAAGAAGATTTTTTAAGTTTTTGCTATACACATATAAGGAAAATCAATGACCCCCAAGCGGGGCCAATTTTGACCCCAGGGCTCTTATTTGAACAAACTTGGTAGACATCCATTAAAACATGTTTCATGCTAAATATCTTAGCTCTAGCTCTTTGGGTTCTTTAAAAGAAGATTTTTAAGTTTTTACTATATGCATATAGGGAAAATCAATGACCCCCTGGGGCGGGGCCAATTTTGACCCCAGGGCATTTATTTGAACAAACTTGGTAGACACTCACTAGAAGATGTTTCATGCCAAATATCTAAGCTCTAGCTCTCTGGGTTTTTCTAGAAGAAGATATTTAAAGTTTTTTTATTTGGTTGCCATGGCAACCAGAGTTCTGCATGGAATTAAATTCTTTGAACAATTTTCAAAGGTGACCACCAAAGGAACATTCCTGTGAAGTTTGGATGAAATTGGCTCAGTGGTTAATGAGGAGATGTCATTTAAAGTAAAAGTTTACGGACGACGGACGGACGACGGACGAAAAGTGATCACAAAAGTTCACCCTGTCACTATGTGACAGGTGAGCTAAAAAATTAGCATAGTATATCTTTAAATCACAACATAAAAAGAGAACTAGACAATTACTTTTTTTTTAATTTTTTGTTTTTTTGTTTTGTTTTTGTTTTGCTGGATTTAGGTAACACTGATACACAAGGTGACTTTCCAGCTTAAGTGATGAAGGAAGACTTCAAGTGCACCTCCATGCAGTATTTCAGAAATGAGCGTAAGAAGACTTCCACAAACTGTATAATCATTTAAAGGGACTCCACCGAGTTCTAAAACCATATAATCTGAATTTCTTACAATGATCTCCTGGGGCGTTTAAAACAGAAAAATTTGCAAAAGATGTTCAAGATATATACCCAGAAATATATTGAAAATAGTATTTTTGTGTTATTCTTATCCCTATTTGAGTGAAAAGCATTGCAGCACTTTTTAATTATGGGTAATTTTCACAAATACAACTATTATACTGGAAAAACAGAGTGAGTGAATGATCTGTATTTTGCACACAAGTTAATGATCTCGACCTACATCAAACTAAACATTAATCTGAAAAATTTATTTCCAGTCCTATCATGTCAAAAAACCTTAGTGGAGTCCCTTTAATGTCTTTTACCTGTAAAACGATACTATAGTACCCTTAAACATCCACAAATATAGAGAACAAAATAAAATCTTTTAATGAATGCTTCAAGAAGATAAAAACTGTCAAAGCTACAACCTTCTCAATTTTAGGTGCTGGACATGTCTCACCACTTCCGAACCCAAAGTCACAATTCGCATTGGACCATTTACACTTGTAGTGATCTTTGAGAGCTTTGCAATGACTGCAATCCTTGCCAAGTTTCTCACAGCTATAAACTGTAACTGTAAATAACATAATTCATGTTTGATTTAAATAAAAGGCTAAATAATCGGAACATTATTGACAAATAAAACATATCAGACTGGCATTTCCGTTAGTTTTATTCTCATGACAGAAATTTCATCTGGCATTGGGTTTGCCAGATGAGACGTGTGCTATACAATGGCATGCTTATGAATGAAGTTGCTTTTAACATAGTTACAGGTGTGCTGACATAAATTCCCATGGAAAATTGTAAAGGTAAAGAATTTGAAATATAATGGAATATGGTATTATAAGCAAGAAAAAACATCTGACATAATGATATGTTTGCCATTCAGAGTATCTGAAAAATATTCCGATCCAAACAACAGCATATGAGATATTATTATTCTTCCTGATCAGTAGAACTTTCTTTAGACAGTTTGAATTGGAATTTGATTCTTTGTATGGTCTAGAATTCTTCTCACAATATGACCTTTGATTTGAATTTTTGTAAAGTTGATTTCAAGTGGCAAATGTCCATTTGAGCCATGTCATGACAAAACCAACATAGTGCGTTTGCGACCAGCATGGATCCAGACCAGCCCGCGCATCCGGGCAGTCTGATCAGGATCCATGCTGTTCGCTATTAGTTTCTCTACTTGTAATAGAGTTGGTAAGCTAACAGCATGGATAATGATCAGACTGCGTGGATGCGCAGGACGGTCTGGATCCATGCTGGTCGCATACACACTATGTTGGTTTTGTCGTGACGCGGCTCATTTAACTATTAATGGGTAAGTGTACAGTTAAAAGCTTGTATAACTTGACACTTTTTCCATAATTGTTTTAAATTTTATCATCTCCTCCTTTTATGTGAATAATTTGACAACCCACAGTGACTCACAGAAATTTCAACACACTGTGGAAGTGGTTAATTTTGTGACGGGGAAATACCTGTGATTTTTGCGAAATGAAATTATTCACAAATATTTGATCATGCAAAAATCATTTCTTCTTAGGTAAACTTTCTTTTATCATTTGAAACACGTTTTCATACAGTATGTTACATAAATAAGTTTGATTTGTTCAGGTACTGAGAATAACTTTTCTCATTGCTTGTTTGTTTAAAGTTGTTCTTAACAAATTACAAATGTTTTAATGAAACAATATTAATGTTAATAACACAATAGGTTATTCACAAAACAAAAGAATGTTTCAAAATATGACAAAGAAATGTGTGGTCAGGTCCTTGATCAAAGTAACAATGTATATTTCAAACAATTATATATCATGTACAGTGTAACTTCCGAAAACCGAACACCCATGGGACTTGTCAAAAAGTTCGGATTTCAGAGGTTTCCGGAATTCAGAGGTTTATGAAAATGTGGACAAGACTAAGCCACTTAATATCACTAAATGTCAAGGAAGATGTGGCCATTACTGTAATATCATATATAATAGTCTTTTAATCAAGATAAAGATGTGAATGAAAAGAATACATTTTTATCTTACACCTGCAAATGCTTCTGAATTTCTATCAGTTTGTAGAAATGTTGTTAATTGCATAAACTTACATATCGTCCGATGCTAGTTCATTAATTATTACATCAAATGCAATAAAATCCCTAAAGACGTTTGATACATACATTGTCCCAACTAATTGTGATTTAATCCGCTAATAAACACTTCAAATTAACTGACCGCAGTAAATTACTTTGATTAACCGCATCACTTCAAACATACCATTTAACAGTTTGTGATTTTAACGCGTGTCAAATTACACGATCACCGCTAATTAGTAAACAATTGATAGGGAGATTAAATCTTCCTGCAGGGTAAACATTCTCGATTTACAATGTATTTCACACCTTTGGACATTTCCGGTTTTCGGAGGTAAAATTGCATTGATTTGACTCTAATTTTACAAAAATATCGTCCGGAATTCAGAATTTAGAAGTTCCGGAATTCAGAAGTAATATATTAATAGAAAATAGAAGAGAAAAAATCGGGACTAAAAAAATTGTTCGGTTTTTAGAAGTTTCCGGATTTCAGAAGTTCCGGAATTCGGAAGTTACACTGTACCTGCTTAATAAATAATATCACAAAAACAGTACTGTAAGTCCACTTTTTGATATTCGCATAATTTTTGTGACACACTTCAAATGCCTGTCAAATTCTTTCTTCCTTTTTTTTTTCCATGAAAAGTTTGTCAATTTTTTGCATGATGCAGTAAGTCATTGCTTTTATAAGGGTATCTTTATCAATCTATGTGAATCACATAAAATTCTGCATGCACACTCTGATCTAAAACATTAAGCAGCTGCTGATTAAGATACAATTGTATCTAATTGAGGAAATTATCAAATGGAATAGGCAATTCAAAATAGAATGAGCAAATTAATTTCCAAACAAGAGATTTAACCATATGTGGCTTCTCCAGCCCTCTCCTAAGAGAGGTGACAAAAGAAAACAATTGTAAAATTATTTAAACAAACCTTTGTTATCATAAACATCTTCAAATTCTGTAAGATCTGTTGAAAACTGTTCAGTATTTCCATATTTGATAAAGATTGGTACATCTAATCCTTTTGAAGCTTCTATTAAAGTTATCTGAAAAAAATATTTATATTGATTAATGCTTTCAACTCAAATTGGACCCAATATCACGCAAAAAAAATTAAATTAAATTCTGAGCATATTTTCTTCTAATTCTTTTGCATATCTTTTGCTCTAAGTGCCCCCCATTGATATAAGAAATAAATAAGTTTTTTTCTATGATTTTTGTATTTTCTGATCCTAAGATCAGTAAATACATAGCTAACATCCACGGTCTAACACAAAATTTCCTAACAGTCCTAACAACGCAAAGTAGTTCTCACTCAAAACTGCTTAAAAACCAGCAATTTAAAAGAAAGAATAATTTTTAATGTAGGCATTTAACGAATGACAGTGCATTAAAAGTTTAGATTAGTCAATAGAACTATGAGGTTACAATCACAAATTTCGCGGATGAATATCTTTTTTACCCAATGAACAAGAACCGGTTGAACCGGGTGATGCTCCCCGAGAAGGTTCTGGACACAGGAAAGTATAAAAAAATGAACAAAGGGCAATAACTCCAAAATTAGACCAGGCTTTGTTTAGGCTCTTGAAGCGTTGCAGTTCTATCCAATTATATCTAGCTACCTACAAAGTTTCATGTTGATATCTCTAATAGTTTTAAAGTAATGTCCAGGACAAAAGTCAAAAAGTAAAAATAAACAAAGGGCAATTACTTCAAAATAAGGCAAGGCAGAGTAATGATTCTTAAGCACTGCACTTCCACCCAATGAGACCTATCTATCTACAAAGTTTCATGTTGATATCTCTTATAATTTTAGAGTAATGTCCCAGACAAAGTTCAAAGTGTCAAAATGAACAAAGGGCAATAACTACAAAAGTAGGCAAGACAGTGTTACAGTTCTTGTGCACTGCAAACTTACTCAATGAGATCTATCTACCTACAAAGTTTCATGTTGATATCTCTTATACATTAAGAAATATGTCCCGGACAAAGTTCAAAATGTAAAAATAAACAAAGGGGGATAATTCAAAAATTAGGCAAGGCAGAGTTAAGGTTCTTGTTCACTGCACACCTACTCAATGAGATCTATCTACCTACAAAGTTTCATGTTGATACCTCTTATACTTTTAGAGTTATGTCCCGGACAAAGTTCAAAGTGTAAAATAAACAAAGGGGGATAATTCAAAATTTAGACAAGGCAGAGTTACGGTTCTTGTGCACTGCACACCTACTCAATGAGATCTATCTACCTACAAAGTTTCATGTTGATATCTCTTATACTTTTAGAGTTATCACCTGGACAAAGTTCAAAGTGTAAAATAAACAAAGGGGGATAATTCAAAATTAGGCAAGGCAGAGTTACGGTTCTTGTGCACTGCACTTCTACTCAATGAGATCTATCTACCTACAAAGTTTCATGTTGATACCTCTTATACTTTTAGAGTTATGTCCCGGACAAATTTCAAAGTGTAAAATAAACAAAGGGGGTATTTCAAAAAATTAGGCAAGGCAGAGTTACGGTTCTTGTGCACTGCACACCTACTCAATGAGATCTATCTACCTACAAAGTTTCATGTTGATACCTCTTATACTTTTAGAGTTATGTCCCGGACAAAGTTCAAAGTGTAAAATAAACAAAGGGGGATAATTCAAAAATTAGGCAAGGCAGAGTTAAGGTTCTTGTGCACTGCACTTCTACTCAATGAGATCTATCTACCTACAAAGTTTCATGTTGATACCTCTTATACTTTTAGAGTTATGTCCCGGACAAAGTTCAAAGTGTAAAATAAACAAAGGGGATAATTCAAAAATTAGGCAAGGCAGAGTTTTATGGTTCTTGTGCACTGCACTTCTACTCAATGAGATCTATCTACCTACAAAGTTTCATGTTGATACCTCTTATACTTTTAGAGTTATGTCCCGGACAAAGTTCAAAGTGTAAAAATAAACAAAGGGGAATAATTCAAAAATTAGGCAAGGCAGAGTTACGGTTCTTGTGCACTGCACTTCTACTCAATGAGATCTATCTACCTACAAAGTTTCATGTTGATACCTCTTGTTTTTTCAAAGTTTTGTCCCGGACAAGAAAAGGGGACGGACGGACGGACGGAAAGACGGACGGACGGATGGACGGACGGACGGACAAGGCGGCGACTATATGCTCCCCCGAAATTTTTTCGGGGAGCATAAAAATGTTCGGCTATTTCCGTAAAGCTTCGGTTTATCATGAATATCATTTTAATCAATGAAAATGCTATTTTTAGCTATGCCGATTACCGAATACTCCAGAGCGTAGTACACAAATAAATCTGACTGTCGATTAGTGTCCGACTTTATTTGTCATCCAATGAAAACGCTGTATTTCTGTGCGTTAATTTTCATAGAAGAACAAAAGTCGATACTATATCGAATTCCGTCCATAGTCGACTTCTATTTTTCATAGTACTTCACAGAACCGCATAGTGACGTAATAAAGCGAATGATAATGAGGCCAAATAAAGTTTGACACTAAATATATTAGTATTCATCCGTGCTATTCTACAGAAATTAGAAACATTTCCCTGTCGCTATCGCTCCCGTCGAAATTTCTAATTTCTGTAGAACAGCACGGATGAACACTAACATATACGTACTGGAATATATACATGTCGGACTATTTTGGCGAGAAGATTTTCGATAAATTATTTTCATCAGTGTTAAACAACACGTTTATCGTGAACAAAATACCTCGAAATTAATAAGGATTACAAACACGAAATGGAAATTCTCAATTTAGAACAAGATATGTTTGTAAAACATGTATGCCCCCTATCTGCAGCCTATTAGTCATGTGATAAGGTTATTATGCATGACTTCTGACCCAGTGATCAAACAATTAATAAGGGTTATCAAGTATCTACTGGTCATGACCTTAACCTTTGACCCCTTGACCCAAAACTCAATAGGGGTCATCTGCTGGTCACGACCAATCATCATACAAAGTTTGAAGTTCCTAGGCCTAAGCGTTTTTAGTTAATTGATCGGAAACCGTTTTTACCTACAAGGTCAATGTGACCTTGACCTTTGACCCCTTGACCCAAAATAAATAGGTCATCTGCTGGTCATGACCAATCACCATACCAAGTTTGAAGTTCCTAGGCCTAAGGGTTCTTTAGTTATTGATCGGAAACCGTTTTAACATACAAGGTCAATGTGACCTTGACCTTTGACAACAAAATCAATAGGGGTCATCTGCTGGTCATGACCAATCACCATGCCAAGTTTGAAGTTCCTAGGCCGAAGCGTTCTTTAGTTATTGATCAGAAACCGTTTTTTACTTACAATGTCAATGTGACCTTGACCTTTGACCCCTTGATCACAAAATCAATAGGGGTAATCTGCTGGTCATGACAAATCACCATACCAAGTTTTGAAGTTCCTAGGCCTAAGCATTCTTTAAGTTTTTGATCAGAAACCGTTTTTACTTACAAGGTCAATGTGACCTTGACCTTTTGACCCCTTGACCCAAAACTCAATAGGGGTCATCTGCTGGTCACAACCAATCATCATTACAAAGTTTTGAAGTTCCTAGGCCTAAGCGTTTTTAGTTAATTGATCGGAAACCATTTTTAACTACAAGGTCAATGTGACCTTGACCTTTGACCCCTTGACCCCAAAAATCAATAGGTCATCTGCTGGTCATGACCAATCACCATACCAAGTTTGAAGTTCCTAAGCCTAAGGGTTCTTAAGTTATTGATTGTAAAGCATTTTTACCTACAAGGTCAATGTAACCTTGCCCTTTGACCCCTTAACCCCAATATCAATAGGGGTCATCTGCTGGTCATGACCAATCACCATACCAAGTTTGAAGTTCCTAGGCCTAAGGGTTCTTTAGTTATTGATCGGAAACCGTTTTAACCTAAGAGGTCAATGTGACCTTGACCTTTGACCCCCTTGACCCCAAAATCAATAGGGGTCATCTACTGATCATGACCAATCACCATATCAAGTTTGAAGTTCCTAGGCCTAAGGGTTCTTTCGTTATTGATCGGAAACCGTTTTTACCTACAAGGTCAATGTGACCTTGACCTTTGACCCCTTAACCCAAAATCAATAGGGGTCATCTGCTGGTCATAACCAATCACCATACCAAGTTTGAAGTTCCTAGGCCTAAGGGTTCTTTTGTTATTGGTCAGAAACCGTTTTTACCCAAGAGGTCAATGTGACCTTGACCTTTGACCCCTTGACCCCAAAATCAATAGGGGTCATCTACTGATCATGACCAATCACCATACCAAGTTTGAAGTTCCTAGGCCTTAAGGTTCTTTAGTTATTGATCGGAAACGGTTTTTGCTTACAAGGTCAATGTGACCTTGACCTTTGACCCCTTGACCCCAAAATCAATAGGGGTCATCTACTGATCATAACCAATCACCATACCAAGTTTGAAGTTCCTAGGCCTTAAGGTTCTTTAGTTATTGATCGGAAACCCTTTTTGCTTACAAGGTCAATGTGACCTTGACCTTTGACCCCTTGACCCCAAAATCAATAGGGGTCATCTACTGGTCATGACCAATCACCATACCAAGTTTGAAGTTCCTAGGCCTAAGGGTTCTTTAGTTATCACTCGGAAACCATTTGGTCTACGGACCGACGGACCGACAGACAGACGGACCGACGGACCGACAAGTGCAAAGCAATATACCCCCTTTTCTTCGAAATGGGGGCATAATTACATAATGTATTCATTTTTATTCAAGGTTCATAATGTATAACTTCGCCGTGGTGCAGAGGTAAGCGGTCTTGTTGAGGGTGTGAGAGGCCTATCGTTCAAATCCTAGTCGAGGCAATTCTATTTTTTTTCATGCAAAATTCCATATGTAAATCTCAGACTGTTATAGAAGAAAATCAAAACGCTGTCGCTGCGTAAGATGAATTATAGTATATAAAAATAAACTTATACAGGAAAGTACATACAGATAGTCAGTATGATTTAGATTGCAAAGATCAGAAAATACCATAGAGCTGCAGCCCTTTGATTGGTTTTGGACCTCAGTGGTGCTCCTCTAACCATGAAATCAAACACAACACTAGAAATGTGTCCATAGGACATGGGTGCCCCCACACTCAAACTGTTTTGTCAATCTTATGACTCTAGGACAAATATTTTTTGGGCTACATGTGCCACAAGTTGAAAACTAAAAATCTTTTACTAAGTAAAGGGCAAATACTGAATAAATCAACAAGCGAACCACAAGGTGCATAAGTACACATGCTGACCAACATTTTTGTAAACTTTCAGGCCTACACTACAGGTCAAATACTTTTTGAGCAACGCATGAACAAGTTGAAAACTGCAAATTTATACTAAGTCAAGGGCAATAACTCTATAAAAACTGAAACAAGACTGCAATTGCTATGCCACTGGATGGTTCAAATTTCATTTTTTTTTTAAGTCAAAGGCAATATCTCTGAAAACAAGAATTTGTAAAAGAGTTACCAATGTCCCCTGCCTCAGGGAAGTTTTATATGAAGCATAAAATCAATGCTAGATCTGCAAATGCACCAATAAATTTATTAAAGAAATAAAATGAAACACTGAATTTAAAAATCTATCATGTTAATCTTTGACCTCTAAGTGTGATCTTGACATTGGAGGTAGGGACACTGGTGTTACGCAAGACATATCATCTTATCATTGTGACTATTTGTGCCAAGTATTTTTAAAATCCCTTGATCTATGAAGAAGTTATGGACGGGACACAAAATATACCATATAACAGACTCTGTTATTTTGACCTCTAAGTGTCACCTTGACCTTGGAGGTAGGGGTGCAGGTGTTGTACTTGACATATCGTCTTATTATTGTGACTATTTGTGCCAAGTTATTTCAAAATCTCTTGAAATATGAATCAGTTCTACATTGGACACAATATATACCCTTTAAAAGACTATGTTAACTTTTGACCTCAAAATGTGACCTTGACCTTGGAGGTAGGGATGCTGGTGTTGCGCATGACACATCGTCTTATTATAGTGACTATTTGTGCCAAATATTTTCAAAATCCTTTGATATAAGAAAAAGTTACGGACCAGACACAAAATATACCCTATACCAGACTATGTTAATCTTTGAACTCCAAGTGTGACCTTGACCTTTGAGGTTGGTGACCGATTGTTGCGCATAACACATCATCTCATTATTGTGAACAATTGTGGCAAATATTAACAAAATCCCTTCAAAGATAAAAAAGTTATAGACCGGACACGAGATATACCCTCAAATAGACAGTGTTGACCTTGATTGAGCAAGTGCGACCTTGACCCTAGAAGTAGGGGTCTGGTTGTTGCACATGACACATCGTCTTATTATAACAAACATTTGTGCCAAGTTATTTCAGATTCCTTAAATAAACAAGAATTTGTAACAGAGTTACCAACGTCCCACGCCCCGCGAGTTTTATATGAAGCATAAAATTGTGCTATATCAAAAGATTGAGGTATGGATCTCAGGACATTCAGTCCAAAATTATGATCAATGCTAGATCTGCAAATGTAAAAATAAATTTGTTAAAAAAATAAAATGAAATACGGAATTTAAAAATCTATCATGTTAAGCTTTGAGCTCTAAGTGTGACCTTGACCTTGGAGGTAGGAAAGCATGTGTTGTGCATGACATAACGTCTTATTATTGAGACTATTTTTGCCAAGTATTTTCAAAATCCCTTGAACTATGAAGAAGTTATAGATTTGACACAAAATATACCCTATAACAGACTATGTTAATTTTTGACCTCTAAGTGTGACCTTGAACTTGGAGGTAGGGATGCTGGTGTTGCGCATGACAAATCCTCTTATTAAAGTGACTATTTGTGCAAAGTATTTTCAAAATCCTTTGATCTATGAAAAAGTTATAGACCCGACACAAAATATAACCTGTAACAGACTATGTAAGTATTTGACCTCCAAGTGTGACCTTGACCTTGGAGGTAAGTGACCGGTTTTTGCGCATGACACATCATCTGATTATTGTGAACAATTATGTTAAGTATTTACAGAAGTCCTTCATAGATAAGAAAGTTATGGACCAGACACGACATATACCCTCAAATAGACAATGTTGACATTGAATGAGCAAGTACGACCTTGACCCTGAAGTTACGGGTCTGGTTGTTGCGCATGACACATCGTCTTATTATAACAAACATTTGTGCCAAGTTATCTCAAATTCCCTTGATAAATGACAAAGTTATGGACCGTACACGAAATATACCGTGTAACAGATTATGTTATTATTTGACCTCAAAGTGTGACCTTGAAGGTAGGTGACGGGTTTTTGCGCATGACACATCGTCTGATTATTGTGAACAATTATGGCAAGTATTTACAAAATCCCTTCATAGATAAGAAAGTTATGGACCGGACACGACATAAACCCTCAAATAGACAATGTTAACCTTGAATGAGCAAGTACGACCTTGACCCTGAAGGTAAGGGTCTGGTTGTTGCGCATGACACATCGTCTTATTATAACAAACATTTGTGCCAAATAATTTCAAATTCCTTTGATAAATGACAAAGTTATGGACCGGACACAAAATATACCGTGTAACAGACTATGTTAATATTTGACCTCCAAGTGTGACCTTGACCTTGAAGGTAGGTGACTGGTTTTTGCGCATGACACATCGTCTGATTATTGTGAACAATTATGGCAAGTATTTACAAAATCCCTTCATAGATAAGAAAGTTATGGACCGGACACGACATATACCCTCAAATAGGCAATGTTGACCTTGAATGAGCAAGTGTGACCTTGACCCTGGAGGTAGGGGTCTGGTTGTTGCGCATGACACATCGTCTTATTATAATTAACAATTGTGCCAAGTTATTTCAAATTCCTTTCATAAATGACAAAGTTATGGACCGGACACGAAAGTGTGACGGACGGACGGACGGACGTTCTAACAGGAGAGTAATTATGTGGCTACTCCATTGTTCTATCTATTGTTCTTTTTAGCCACACAAAAGAAAATAGCCACTTAAAAGCATTACGGGATGAATGACATCAAAGAGAAAGAACAGTTACCTATTGTCCCTCTAGCCACATAATTACTGTCCTGTGAGTGCGGACGGACAGACCTTTTTCTATATCCCCCTGTGACATTTGGCGCCCAACGTGGGGCCGTGACTGATATAGCTCAGAGTTTAATTTACATTGCTCTGTAACTCTGTGAAATTCGAGGACGAATTTCAATTTAGCAGGGGAGTATGTCACGGTTCAGAACTGTTCACTATTTAGGGGAGAAGATGTGTAAGCGGCCGGATAGCTCAGTCGGTAGAGTCCCGGTCAGGCTGCACATTTTTCTCACCCTGTGACATTTGAAAAAGGGGGGGGGGGGACAAAAACAAAATTAATCCACAAGCCAAACCCCAGGTGCACAACTTAACAAGCTGATCAACATTCTGTAAACTTCATGACTCTAGGTCAAATAATTTTTGTGCTACGTGCAACACAAAATGAGAACGGACAGATGGACTGACAAGGGTGAATCTAAATGCCTCCACGGGGGCACAATTATTACAAAAATGCCATTGATAGAATTTATTCAAAGAATTTTTAGCACCTATTTTAACTATCAAGTCAATTAAATACTTACATTCATTTTACATGTCAAAGTACTCAAGTTTGTATCAACAGTTGCAGGTTTGAAATCTTCCTTCTGAATACTATTATTTTTTGGAACATAACACCAAAATTTCTGAAGAACAAAACAGACCATGAAAAAGTATCTGAAAATGTGCCCAAGGTCATTGTTTCATAGTTGCAAAATCAAATGAAAATTGCATTTGTGAAAAAATATACCATGACACTGCATTTATACAACAGCAAATAGTAGGAAAAAAGTAGATCACTTTTATTCCTCTTTCTATACAAGTGAAATTTGCCATAGTGCAGTGGTGTCTAGTGATTTTGGGAGGTCAAGGTTAGATGCTTACAAAGGCCATAGTGTAATAATTGATTCAAAACAGGAGTATTCTTACTTGATAAAAATTTAGACATTTAAATAGCTGTATTAAACTTTAAAATTCAGTTACAGTTATTTTTCATACATTTTATCTTTCAATTAAGCATTACCTATTTCTGGAAACATGTTAAAAAAAACATTTACAATTTAGAACCATGACTAGACAATGTAAAATACTTAAACAAATCTATTATTCGAAACAGTGTATAATACTTTAACTAATCTATACTACCTTTCTCACAAGAGAAAAGGTTATACATTGTGTGAATTATAATGCTCAAATCATTTCATAAATATCTCTGAAAAACAAACATCTCTCTTGCTAGAGGTCATAACCTTTAAACTCCCAGCTGTTGAATCATTTTTTCATTTTAGAACAAGAGCGATCAGTGATCACATGTGTCGCCTCATGATGGCCAATTTCATGTTGGGACAAGTTTTGTGACAGACGGACAGACAGACAGACAGTGCACAACTAGACTTGGTACTGATCATTCCTGTAAAGTTTGGATGAAATTGCACCAGTAGTTTATGAGGAGTAGTCCGGACAAGTTTTGTGACGGACGGACAGACGGATGTTCCAACATCTTGGGTTTAGGGGCTATTTTCTTTGTTATTTTCTTTGTTTTCTTAAGGGCTACTACCCCATAAACCCTTTGATCACCGAATGAACCTATTGTTCTCTTTTGTTCTCTTTACTGTTATATAGCCCTTAAACCCAAAATGTTTGCTCGGACAGACAGATGGACAGACAGACAACGTAGAAGTGATCCCTATATGTCGCCACTACTCCATAGAGGTGACACAAAAATCAATGACCCCTGTGGCCCGGCCAATTTTGACCTAGGGCTTTTATTTGAACAACCTTAAATAGTAGACATCCAATAGAAGATGTTTCATGCCAAATAGCTAAGCTCTAGCTCTTCGGTTTCTTACAAGAACATTTTTTAAGTTTTTACTATATACATATAGGGAAAATCAATGACCCCCTTGGGCGGGGCTAATTTTGACCCTAGGGCTTTTTTTTAAACAAACTTGGTAAACATCCATTAGGAGATGTTTCTTGCCTAACAGCTTAGCTCTAGCTTTTTCGTTTTTTTTTACAAGAAAATTTTTTAAGATTTTTGTAAAAAAAACTTTTGGTTGCCATGGCAACCAGAGTTCTTTATGGAATTTAATATTATAGAGCTTCATGCAAGGAACATCCTTGCTTTAGAAGGAGAAGTTGTTTAAAGAAATTGTTGACACACGCACGGATGATTGACGACATGCAATTGGCCATCACAAAAGCTCACCTTGAAGACATTGTCCTCAGGTGAGCTAAAAAGTTTTATAAAACAAGCAATTATCATAGTATTGCAAACAATCTATAAGTCCCTTACTGGTACAAACCCCAGCAATATTTCGAAGGGCCATTGGCCATTCAATTATGCCATTGAATGAATGCATGAATGACATGATTGAACTTAAATCTTTTGATTTCTTAGTTTGTCTGTATCATAGTAATGTGTTAAGTTTCCCTGCCTGGTAAGGAAATTATGTTTATACAACAGATATACAAAAGGTCCAGTTTTCTCAGGATGAATATGTATAACTAATGTTTCAACTTTTCTCTGTTTTAAGTAAATTTGTTGGAAAAGTCCTTTAACAGTGATCTCAGGTAACAGTTTTTATGAACAGGCAGACAGAAGGACTGAAGGACCCCTGTAACCAAAATACATGGATAACATTTTTAAAAGCAAAATTCTTAAAGAGGAGATAGCTCTAGAAATAGAGATGCTAGACTTATGAACATTGTCATACATGATGTGAGTGTAACAAAGTACAATTATTTTTAGTTTAAAGAAACCATTTATAGTCACAAAGAAGAAAAGTGAAAAAAAATAACAATTTTCAAAAATACCATTAACATGTATATAGTAACAAAGATGAAAAAAATAAAATATATATATATGTATCATGTAGGTGTTGATAATGAATGTTTATTTGAATTTGAAGTCAATCCATGAAGAAATAAGAAAGTTAAAGAATGAATGAGAAAAATTCAAAGTTTAAGGAGGAGATAATGCTGGAAATATGGATTATAGATTTAAAAACCTTGTCATATTATTATGATGTGGGAGTTTGAAGTAAATTCTATAAGGAATGAATAAGTTGGAGTAAAAAATACCAATTTGACGAAAAAATCTTAAGTTCAAGGGGGACATCATTCTAGAAATAGTCTTGCTAGAGTATTGAACCTTCTCACAAATGATTTGAGTGATAATAAGAAACATTTATATGAAGTTTGAAGTAGATACATTAAGAAATAAAGAAGTCATTAAAAAAACATTTTTTTCATGAAAATTCTAAGTTCAAGGGAGGTAATTCTGATAATTTGTAAGCTAGAGTTGTAAACCTTGTCACATGATGTGGTTGATGACCAGAAACTTATATTTGAAGTTTAAAGTGAATACGTTAAGAAATAAAGAACAAATAGTGAAAAAGCGTAAAAAGTAGAATCAGAAATCTTGACGAGGTTCAGCCAACGTTTGGTAATTATGACAGCTCTCAATATACTCCCTATAGTCAAGATTAAAATGATGTATATAATTTCCATACTGCCATCTATCCATATTTTAAGTTTTATAAAAAAAATTCAGTTCTTTATGCCTTATCACAAAGCCATGATTTAAGTCTATTTATTGCCCTAGCAACCAATTTATTCAACACAGGAAGAAAAGAAAGACATGCATAATTTCCAGACTGCCATATCTACCCATATTTCTAGTTTCATAAAAATATTTTTAGTACTTTTTGCAGTTTCACTGGATCCAGTTTGTGTGTTAAAATTCCCATATTTTCAGTCTATTTGTTGCCAAAGCAACCAGAATTTTCAACATAGGAAGAAAAGAAAAAGACGTGCATAATCTCCATACTGCCATCTATCCATATATCAAATTTAATAAAAGTATTTTCAGTACTTTTGTAATATTGAGGGATCCAGTTTTGTACACGGACTGAGGGACCGACAGACAGACCGACAGAGGGTACACCTTAAGTCCCCCCTAGTTAAACTGGTAGGGGACTAAAAAACTATCAATCAACTAGAAATGTGTCCATAGGACACGGAAGCCCCCACACGCCACTGTTCTGTCAATCTTATGACTCTAGGTCAAATATTTTTTGGACTACATGTGCTACAAGTTGAAAACTAAAAATCAACAAAGGGCCATAATTCTGTTAAATTTGGTCGCAGCAAAAATTCCTTCCTTTACTACCATCTACACATCAAGGTTGTTAATCCCTGTAAGATTAAGCAAAATCTGCCATTCGGTTTAAGAGAAGTTGCATTCACAAAATTTCTACATAGTATATAGTGAAAAAATCAACAAAGGACCATAATTCTGTTAAATTTGGTTGCAGCAAAAATTCCTTCCTTTACTACCATCTACACATTAAGGTTGTTCATCCCAGGAAGTTTAAGCAAAATCTGCCATCCGGTTTAAGAGGAGTTGCGTTCACAAAATTTCTACATAGTATATAGTGAAAAAATCAACAAAGGGCCATTATTCTGTTAAATTTGGTCGCAGCAAAAATTCCTTCCTTTACTACCTTCTACACATTCAGGTTGTTCATCCCTGGAAGTTTAAGCAAAATCTGCCATCCGGTTTAAGAGAGTTGCGTTCACAAAATTTCTACATAGTATATAGTGTAAAAATCAACAAAGAGCCATAATTCTGTTAAAATCAGTCACAGCAAAAATTCCTTCCTTTACTACCATCTACACATTCAGGTTATTCATCTCTGGAAGTTTAAGCAAAATCTGCCATCCGGTTTAAGAGGAGTTGCCTTCACAAAATTTCTACATAGTATATAGTAAAAAAATCAACAAAGGGCCATAATTCTGTTAAATTTGGTCGCAGCGAAAATTCCTTCCTTTACTGCCATCTACACATTAAGGTTATTCATCCCTGTAAGTTTAAGCAAAATCTGCAATCCGGTTTAAGAGGAGTTGGGTTCACAAGATTTCGGGAAGTACGTACGGACTTACCAAAATTTGATGTTTATGAGGCAAATGAGCTCATAAACACCACCGGGACCAACGTCCAAGCAAAATAAGCTCATAAAAACAAAAAAATAGCTCTTAATTTGAATTTTATGAGTTTATGTTCTTTATTTAACTACGGAATGAAGCTCATAATAATCAAATGTTGGCTCGGACGGACGGACGGACAAGTGCAACGCTATATGCTCCCACATTGTGGGGGCATAAAAAGTATGGAGGAGGAAAAATGCATCAATAATGTTATATTAAACTAAAGATAAATATAGATGTTCTTACCAGAGACGACGGAATATTTGATGCCTCCAGTACAACTTCAATTTCTTTTGATGATGCTAAATATTTTTTTTTGTTTTCATTTAAACTAGGACATTTATCTACCTGAATAAAGAAATAAATGTTTTGAAATATGCTACAAAGGAAAATATAAACATTAAAATTATGTACTTCAATAATTGGTCATTAAAAAATTTGAAAATTTTTTAATTGCTCAGCAAAATGTTCATTGCGGGTAAAATCCAATCCAGTTTGTCAGTATAGACAATTTAAGTCAAACAAGCTAGACATATTATATATAAATTATCAGGCCCAACATATTCTTTAGGCACAACATATATATGTAGACCTAACATATTGTATGCATGCCAACATGTATGTTCACCCATCATATATTTGCAGACTGAATATCTATTTGGACACCCATTGCATGTTTGCAGGCCCAAATATATGTTAGCAGGGCCAATGTATGTTTGTAGTTATAGGCCCAACATATATCTAGAGGCATATATATGTAGGCCTGACATATGTAAACATTACTGACATAAAATTATGTATGTAGGCCTGACATATGTATATAGCCCTGACATAATATTATGTATGTAGGCCAGACATATGTATGAAGGAAGTCTGACATGATTAAACAAGTTATGTTCAATAAACCAAACAACTCAAAAACACCTTACGAGGGGTTATCCAAAAATTCGTGGACTTTCTTTGTTGGGTAAAATATATTTGAGATATTAATTTGAAATTCTTACACTGCTTAGAAGAATTAATAACAGATAAACACAGAAAAATTCATGTGAGTAGCTTTTTACATTTCATCAATATTTAATTTTACATAAACACATGTCGGCGACAGCGGCGCACTCCAAAAAATTATTGACGTCAACGTCATAATATTAACGTACAACTTGTGCTTCAACGTTACGCAGTCAATGACGGTTACTGCTTCTCAAAGGAATGTCCATCACTAAATTTCTTATGCGACTTTAACACTAATGATCTTTAATTTTCTTTTCTCTGTTTGTCTGCTGATTTTTATCAAATAGTTTTTTAGGTGTCATCCCCAAATTACAACAAAAATTCATTATCGTTATATGATCGCGCGATTTTCTAATTACCGCGTGTCCGTCATTTTCCCGTTGTAAACAATAAAGGCGTCTGGCGTTTCTAGCAATATCAACAAAAATAAACGGAAATGACGACCATTATTTTAAAGAATTACTTAAATGACATCATAGAAGAAACATTCGATGTTCAGCGGGTTTTCTACGATATATTTTAGTTTTTTTAGCAAGAAATATACGATGTTTTACTGCGTTTTCCTACCGTGCGCCGGGTGCCGTGTATGTGCTTATTTAAAAGCCATATAAAATCATTATTTATGGACACAATTGACTGTTCCTTTCAAAATGTGTTGATAATATTCTACAATGTATGCTGATAAAAGTTCATTACAATACACGTTGACGTTCAAGAGATATTTAAAAAGTCCACGAATTTTTGGATAACCCCTCGTATACAATGAATGATCTTATACTATTGAATGTGACATCTCTGAACTGGTAAACAACTTATTCTACAACTTATTCTAACATTATCGCAACAGTAAATTAATGTATGCAACACTTACTTCATTAACAATATTGCTTCCATCTGCTGTTGGAGCTTGGCAATTTGTATTTCCTAAGTCCCATGTGCAATTAGAATTGGCTGTATTGACACATTTACCACAACTACAAATATGCAAAATTGAGAAAATAATCATGAAGTCATGTCAGGACTCACATGTCATTTGAATATTACAGAGGTTCATAAGCCTAAAAACATAAAAATTGGACTTTCTTACGCGGAACAGCTTGGGCACTTAAAACAGAATATATGTAGAAGATAATTAAGAAATATACTTAGAAATAAATTGAAAAATGTATTTTTGAGCTATTCTTATCTTGATCTGAAAAAAAAGCATTTTCAGCACTTTTTTAGATCACTTTTCATGATTAAAATAATGATTCATTTATGAGAGAACAGAAATCAAAATGCCAAGTATTATACCAAATATATTGTTAAAAGCTTGTCTGTTTTAGTGATATTAGGGTTTTTCTCAAAAGTTTGAATATTTCGATGTTAAATGTATATAAATGTCTAAGAAAATTACAGAATTACTGTGTAAATGCAAATGTATATGTAGTATCTAGTATGAAATTTGCTTTATCTATCATAACATATTAAATTTTTAAATGCTGATACTCAACTATGTATATAAAGATTTATACTGTGTATTGTGAATTCATTTTGTAACTCTGAAAGAAGGTGGTTATAAGCATGTGAAATTGTATACACAATATTTGTAAAGGTTCTTCTGTACAGAAAATTATGTTTTGACATTCCTATGCATACAGACTTACCTTTTAAAATTCTCACACTTGTAGAAAAGGAATGGAGTTGATGCTAGTACAAAATCATTAACCATTAACTCAATGGTAGCATCTGTGTGCTCTAAAAAAATAAGAACAATTTTAAAAAGCTGACAATGCAAACTTTCAAGGAAAACTAACTTTCTGGGATGCTATCTAGAAATAAATCAAACATTTGAGTTCTAAGGACAGTCATCCCTTTTCGAGTAAAAACAATAAAAATTTCTTTCTGTAATGCTTATTTTCAGTAACAATAATGTTATTGACATTTTGCATGAGAAATAAGGATTCTGGAACTCAACTCACATATGCTAATTTGAAACAAACAAAAAACCTGCATACACTATAATTATGACAAATAATTTAAGAATACAATACCTTTAACCTCTGGTATGGCACATATAAATGTGTTGCCAGTTATCGTTATTTCCATTGGATTTCCCAAAGGAGTTTGACCTTCAGAAAACCTACATTTATACATGTATTTGTCTGCCCTCAAGACAAAATGTTTTGCTGTAACTGTTACCTTAAATAAAAATAAACTGATAAGAATTACAAACCATAAGCTAGCTATAGCTTAAACGATTTTTTTAAGCATTTGGGTTACAATGGTCGGTCCTCATTTGGTTGATACCTTTTAGAAATATTTGAATAATGGGCTACATTAAAGTGAATTGGTCTGTAATGAATGAAATAATTAAGGTCATTGAGAACAGACATAAGCCTCTGTACAAAAGCTTATTTTATTCTTTAAATTCTTAAAGTTAATTGTGACCTTCACCTTAAAGCTACAAGACTTGTATTTGCAGGAGACACATGTGACCTTGTCTTTTAAGCTTCAAGACTTGGATTTACAAGAGAAACATGTGACATTGCCTTTTAAGCTTCAAGACCTGTATTTACAGGAGACACATGTGATCTTGTCTTTTAAGCTACATGTGACCTTGTCTTAAGCTTTGCAGGAGACACATGTGACCTTGTCTTAAGCTTTGCAGGAGACACATGTGACCTTGTCTTTTAAGCTTCAAGACTTGGATTTGCAGAGACACATGTGACCTTGTATTTTAAGCTTCAAGACTTGGATTTGCAGAGACACATGTGACCTTGTATTTTAAGCTTCAAGACTTGGATTTGCAGAGACACATGTGACCTTGTCTTTAAGCTTCAAGACTTGTATTTGCAGGAGACACATGTGACCTTGTCTTTTAAGCTACAAGACTTGGATTTGCAGGAGACACATGTGACATTGACCTTTTAGCTTCAAGACTTGTATTTGCAGGAGACACACGTGACCTTGTCTTTTAAGCTTCAAGACTTGGATTTACAAGAGAAACATGTGACATTGTCTTTTAAGCTTCAAGACCTGTATTTACAGGAGACACATGTGATCTTGTCTTTTAAGCTACATGTGACCTTGTCTTAAGCTTTGCAGGAGACACATGTGACCTTGTCTTTTAAGCTTCAAGACTTGGATTTACAAGAGAAACATGTGACATTGCCTTTTAAGCTTCAAGACCTGTATTTACAGGAGACACATGTGGCCTTGTCTTTTAAGCTACAAGACTTGTATTTGCAGGAGACACATGTGACCTTGTCTTTTAAGCTTCAAGACTTGTATTTGCAGGAGATACATGTGACCTTGTCTTTTAAGCTACAAGACTTGGATTTACAAGAGAAACATGTGACATTGCCTTTTAAGCTTCAAGACTTGTATTTGCAGGAGACACATGTGACCTTGTCTTTTAAGCTTCAAGACTTGTATTTGCAGGAGACACATGTGACCTTGTCTTTTAAGCTACAAGACTTGTATTTGCAGGAGACACATGTGACCTTGTCTTTTAAGCTTCAAGACTTGTATTTACAGGAGATACATGTGACCTTCTCTTTTAAGCTTCAAGACTTGTATTTGCAGGAGACACATGTGACCTTGTCTTTAAAGCTTCAAGACTTAGATATGCAGGAGACAGATCAGCAAAATGAGACTACACTTAAGTAAGATTATCTTAATATCCATCAATGAATACCAAATGTATCACAGTTTTGCATATTCATATTATGACTTTGGAGATACAAAGGTTACCTTTACTCATTAGCTGGAGATATGACACAACATTATCATAATTTTTCCAACACATTAATGCCCAGTTATTTGACTGAATTGTTGACTGGACACAACTATAAAAGCACTTATATTAAATTATATCACAACTTTTGACAAACTGAGACCCTAACCTATAAGGTTATTGTCTGCAACAGGACGTCATTATGTCCAACACATTTACATTACATTATTTTAAATCTATCCATGAATGACAGATCTATTGACCAGAGAGGACCATCAATGCACTTGGTAAAAATCATTTCTCCAATTTTACTTTGGAGATAAAAGTGACTTTCTTATTCTTTGGTGCCATAAGTCATGAACAAATAAGTCCAACCAAATTATGCCAATCTATTAACACTACCATTAATATAAAAAAAATTGTGACCGTGACATTTGACCTTCCAACTTGAATCTTGCATGCAACATAATGCATCAATGTCCTGTAGATTTACACAAAATTATTACAAAATACATCCATGAATAATGAAGTGGTGGCCTGAACAAAAAGCAGCCAGATGGCCAGGCACATGACATTTACAAAAATTTATGCCCTCCATAAGGGGAATATAAATTAGAGATTCTTTTTATGATTCAAACTGTAGTGAGCCATATTCGTCTGATTCGAGCTCCCATGGCATCACACTCATGCCTAATAATACAACTAGTTCTTGTTAAAGTCAGGAAGCTGACTCAAGAAAGGTTCTAATCAGCTCTAAGTTGTCATCATGATCTGGCTAAAATATATAATGTTTAACCCTTACCTACTTAATATCTTAAATGGATTTGTCTGTCCTTAATTCTGGACAAAACCATTCATCATTATTATGGAAATTATAAAAAGTATGTACTGACTAATTAGGGAAAAATGCAGACCATGACTAGATGGCACGGATGTATACCAGCTGATCTTGGCCTGCACAGGTCACATGGGTAATATAAGTTGCCACCAGCAGGCCAAGGGTTAAACTACACTAAGTGAATTTTAATGCCAATAACAATATCTACCCTTAGCCTCTGGTTCTATTGAGTTAAAATATAGACAAACATACATTTTTGCCTGTAGTGCCAACTGCAATGCCACTGATGTCTGTCTCTAATTCAATGCAATCTTCATATGAATGTATCCACTCTTCAGGAGGACACGATTTTTCTGTTTGAGATCTGTAAAAATAGGAAATTGTTGAAAATATTACAAACATGACCTTGATTGCATATATGAAAAAATGCTATGCCACCACATAAATACAATACTAAATAGTAGGAATTGAAGTAAATTTCTTATTTGGTTTCTATACCATTGAACTTTGCCACAATGCAGTTGTGTGTAGTGAATTTTTGAGTCAAGGTCATATTTCAGAATTTCAGATGAAAAACAATGTACAGATATTTCTAATGATAAGATCAAAAGTCATAGCATAATAATTGATTAAAAATAGAAGTATTCTTACTTATTTACTGCATCACATGGCAGTATACAGTAACAGTTACTTTTCTTAAAGTTGCACTTTATAGATATATCAGAATATTTTAAAATTGGCCTAAAAACCAAGCATTCTGCAGTTTCATTAACCTTTATATAAATTTTTGTAAATCTCTTAAAATTATGTTCATAAATTATGATTTTAAAAGGAAAACCACACAGTAATAATAAAGTTCATATTGGAATTTTAACATGCAAAAGATTACTATACTGTATTCCTAGAAATTATTTTGCTCTTAAGTTAGCTCTTTTCGCAGAGTATGCATTTCCACAAATCTTTGTTTTTGCGAAAAAGTTGCAAGTTACAAATCATTTGTAGCTTAAACCACTTAAATTATCATTATGTCATTGTGAAGTACTATGATGTAGTATGCATAACTTTTACATATGCTTAACTTGATGTCCATTTCAAGGTAAATTTTCCCCTTTGCAAACACTCTTTCTGTTTGAAAATATCCATCATTTACATGTTAAATAAAATCATATAATACATCTTATTTACAGTTTGCATACTTTGAATAGAGGTAATTGTACTCGCTGAACAAGTGCAACATTGTCCCAAAATACGCCTGTCACAAAAGCTTTTGACAGAGATGTGGGCATTATAGATATGCATACAGGAGATAATATTAATTATACTCTAGGCATTATCTGGATAAAATATGGATATTTTATCATCTCTAGTGACCTTGACCTTACAAATATTAACCTAAATTACATGTGTCACACTTCTAGTCATCATTTGTGTTATAATACATTAGTAAATGATGACTAAATGGTCCACGTAAACAAACTTTGACTCTCTATGTGACCTTGACTTTGGTTGCAAGGACCTGGATTATGAGCGCAATACTTTAAGCTTCACACCCGTAGTCATGATAATGACCATTTGTGTTTCAATTCCTCAATAAATGATGACTAAATGGTCCGAATACACATTTGCATATTTTTATCTAAACTTTGACCCCTGTGTAAAACCTTGACCTTGGCGTCAGGGCCTAAATTTTGCACGCGGCACTCCACTTCAAGCAAAATCTGCCATTCGGTTTAAGAGGAGTTGCGTTCACAAAATTTCTACATAGTATATAGTGAAAAAATCAACAAAGGGCCATAATTCTGTTAAATTTGGTCGCAGCGAAAATTCTTTCCTTTACTACCATCTACACATTAAGGTTGTTCATCCCTGTAAGTTTAAAGAAAATCTGCCATCCGGTTTAAGAGGAGTTGCGTTCACAAGATTTCGGGACATACAGACGGACGGACTGACTGACGGACGGACAAGTGCAACACTATATGCTCCCACATTGTGGGGGCATAAAAACATATAAATTTCATTAATATGACATTGACAATCAAGGTCAATTTAAGGTCAAGGTCACATCTAAAATATTCAATATGTTTGTTTGGAAGCATTGAGTCTTGTTTTATCCAAGTTTAAATTAAATCTGTAATTAATAACAAAATTATGACGATTTAACACAAAATTCAATAATTTGACATTGACCGTCAAGGTCATTTAAAGGTCAAGGTCAGTTCAACCTTTCAGAAGGTCTTGTCCAAAATGTTGTTTGTCCAAGTATGGAGATAATCCATTTATTAATAACCAAGTTACAGTCAATTGAAGCAAAAATCAGTGAAAATTCAATAATTTTACCTTCAAGGTCAAGGTCATAAAAGGCCAAGGTCAATTTGAGAATGTTCTGTTAAAATATATAGTTTATCCATTTAATAATAACAAAGTTACAGCAAGTTACAGTAAAATAAATGAAAATTTAAATAATTTGACCTTCAATGCCAAGGTCATATATGAGTCAAGGCCTAGGTCTGTCTGGTTCACTTAAAAGGCTATCCTAAAAGATTTTTATGCTCAAGTTTGAAGACAATCCAATCAAAACTAACAAAGTTATAGCCACTAATAGCAAGAAACAAGCAAACTTTGGACGTTTGACCTTGAAGGTCAAGGTCATTTATGTATGAAGGTCAAGATTTGTCTAGTCTACTAAAAAATCTTGTCCCAAGGGTTGTTGTGGCCAAGTATGAAGACAATACACAAAGAACTTAAAAAGTTATGATCAAGGTACAAGTTTGTGGAAGGTAACAGCAACGGCAATGGCAAAGCCGCCAAGACTATAACAATACCTGTACCTTTTTTTTTCAAAAAGAAGAAAAAAACAAGAGGGCCATGATGGCCCTGAGGTCGCTCACCTGTATATAGGCCCCCACAGCGGGGCCAGTTTAAACCCCAGGGCTTTTATTTGAACAAACTTGGAACACCCATTAGAAGATGTTTCATGATGTTAAGTTTTTACTACACATATATAATGAAATACAATGACCTCCTTTTTCCACCCCCCGACAGAGCCAATTTTAACCCAAGGCTTTTTATTTGAACAAACTTGGTAGACACTCATAAGAAGATGTTTCATGCTAAACATCTAAGCTCTAGCTCATTGGGTTTTTTAAAAGAAGATTTTTTAAGTTTTTACTATACACATATAGTAAACAAGAGGGCCATGATGGCCCTGAGGTCCCTCACCTGTATATAGCCCCCCCGGGCCAATTTTTACCCAAGGGCTTTTATTTGAACAGACTTGGTAGACACCCATAAGATGTTTCATGCTAAACATCTAAGTTCTAGCTCATTGGGTTTTTTAAAAGAAGATTTTTTAAGTTTTTACTATACACATATAGTTAAAAAAACAATGACACCCCTGGGGCAGGGCCAGTTTTGAACCCCGGGCTTTTATTTGAACAAACTTTGTAGATATTTACTTAAAGATGTTTCATGTATAATATCTAAACTCAAGCTATTTGGAATTTTTCAAAGAAGATTTTTAAGTTTTTGCTATACACATATAAGGAAAATCAATGACCCCCCGGTGCGGGGCCAGTTTTGACCCCAGGGCTTTTATTTGAACATACTTGGTAGACACCCATTAGAACATGTTTCATGCTAAATATCTTAGCTCTAGCTCTTTGAGTTCTTTAAAAGAAGATTTTTTAAGTTTTTACTATATGCATATAGGGAAAATAAATAACCCCCTGGGGCGGGGCCAATTTTGACCCCAGGGCTTTTATTTGAACAAACTTGGTAGACACTCATTAGAAGATTGTTTCATGCTAAATATCTTAGCTTTAGCTCTTTGGGTTCTTTAAAAGGAAGGGATTTTTTTAAGTTTTTACTATATGCATATAGGGAAAATCTTGACCCCCTGGGACGGGCCAATTTTGACCCCAGGGCTTTTATTGAACATAACTTGGTAGACATTTCACTAGAAGATGTTCATGCCAAATATCTAAGCTCTAGCTCTTACGGTTCTTTAAAAGAAGATTTTTTTAAAGTTTTTACTATATGCATATAGGGAAAATCAATGACCCCCCGGGCGGGGCCAATTTTGACCCCAGGGCTTTAATTTGAACAAACTTGGTAGACACTCACTAGAAGATTTTCATGTCAAATATCTTAGGTCTAGCTCTTTGGTTCTTTAAAAGAAGATTTTTTTAAGTTTTTACTATATGCATATAGGAAAATCTATGACCCCCTGGGCAGGGCCAATTTTTGACCTCAGGGCTTTTTATTTGAACAAACTTGGTAGACACTCATTAAAAGGTTGTTTCATGCTAAATATCTTAGCTCTAGCTCTTTGGGTTCTTTAAAATGAAGATTTTTTAAGTTTTTACTATATGCATATAGGGAAAATCAATGACCCCCTGGGCGGGACCAATTTTGACCCCAGGGCTTTTATTTGAACAAACTTGGTAGACATTCACTAGAAGATATTTCATTTGCCAAATATCAAGCTCTAGCTTTTACAGTTCTTTAAAGGAAGATTTTTTAAGTTTTACTATATGCATATAGGGAAAATCAATGACCCCCCGGGGCGGGCCAATTTTGACCCAGGGCTTTTATTTGAACAAACTTGGTAGACACTCACTAGAAGATTTTTCATGCCAACTATCTTAGCTCTAGCTCTTTGGGTTCTTTAAAAGAAAGAATTTTTAATTTTTTACTATTATGCATATAGGAAAATCAAATGACCCCCCTGGGCGCGGGGCCAATTTTTGACCCCAGGGCTTTTATTTGAACAAACTTGGGGTAGACATCATTAGAAAGATGTTTCATGCCAAAATATCTAAGCTCTAGCTCTTACGGTTCTTTAAAAAAAGATATTTAAAATTTTTCTTTCGGTTGCCGATGGCAACCAGAGTTCTGATTGAAATGGAATTCTTTGAACAATCTTGATAGAGCTTCATACAAAGAGTATTCCTGCAAGTTTCATTAACATTTGCCTTGCGTATTCATAGAAAGATGTCCTTAGAATATTTAAAATGTGGGGACGACAGACGACTACGCCATTTGATTGGCCATATCCTAAAAGCTCACCTATTTGTGCAAGTGAGCCTAAAAACAAGAGGCCATGAGGGCCCTGAAGTCCTCACCTATATAGGCCCCAGCTTCTATTTTTAACCCAAGGCTTTATGTTGGACCCTCAACCTGCCTTTAATCTCCCCCCCCACCCCCCCCCCCGGCAGGTCTCCAATTCAATCCAAGCTTTATTTGAACAAACCTCGTATTACACCACATAAGAAGACGTATTCATTATCTACCTAAGCTTCTAGCCATTTTGTTTTTTGTTAAAAGAAGATGGTTTAGAGTCTTACTTATTAAACATAATGTTAAAACGGGCCCCCCCGGGGGGCCCTTTTTTTTAAACCCCGGGTTTTTTTTCTTTGTTTAAAATGTTTCTCTTTTCTTTGCTTTTGGTTTTTTTTTTAAGTTTTCCCTTTTTTTGGGGGGGGCTTTTCCCCCCCCCTTTTAGGTTTTTTTTAAAAATTTTAAAAAAATATTTGGTGTTTCATGCTAAATTTTTATTTTTTTTTTTAAAAAAATTTTTTTTAATTTTACTAAAAAGGGAAAAATTGGGCTTTTTTTTACCCCCTTTTTTTTAACTTTTTTAAATCATTGAATTTAAAATTTTGCCTTTTTTCTTTAAAAAAATTTTTTAAGTTTTTATATAGGGATTAAGGGGAAAACAAGACCCCCCCCGGGGGGAATTTTAAGGTTTATGAAAATTTTTAAAACCCCTTGAAACCCAAAACAAGCTCTCTTATGGGTTTTTTTAAAAAAAATATTTAAATTTTTAAAAAAAATTTTTAACCAATTCTTTAAATTTTTAAAATTTAAAGCCCAAAAAAAAAATTTTTTTTATAAAATTTTTTTGGTTTTTTAAATTCTTTAAAAAAATTTCTTAAACACGAAAAATTCACCTCCCCTGTCCCTTTTTCATAGTAAAAAAAAGTCACAAAAAAATAAATTTAAAAATTTAAAAAAAATTGGGTTTTTCAGGAGGGCTAAAAATTGAAAAAAAATTTTTTTAAAGTGAAAAGGGATGAAAATTAAATTTTTAGAACCAAATTTAAAAAAAAAATTTAAAACATTTTAAAAACTTTTTGGGAAAATTAAAATTTTTTTAAAATTTTACAATTTAATATTTAAAAAGCTTTAAATGGGGATTTATCACTTTTTTCACCTAAAGTAGCATCTGAATTTAAAACTCGTTCATAACCGGCAAAATGATGTCATTCTAAGAACACAATTCATTCATAAAAGGTACGCAGGAATGGCATCATTTAAATGGATTTCTACCATCCCTGTAAACAATATACAATATATCAGTAACATTACCAGAAATAGCTTATCAAACTTTGGATATACTGTAAACAGATATACATGTACCTGTTTTGATAAACACACCACCCACAATGTGGATTCTTCTTCTCCATGGTTTCCTGACAAGTTTTAAACTCAGAGCAATTGGTGCGGCTATATTTGATAATCTGAAAAATATACAGTTATGTAACACTATTTCACTTTCATGACAAAAAAATCTTAGAAACCTCAATGTGCATTAAATGTATTACTGTTCAGTGACCATGTCAAAAAAAATATTTGCAGCACTTCCTCAAAACTTAAAACAAATGACAAAAGGATTTCCATTGAACAATAAATCTTGCATCAAGGTCATATTTACCTTTGAGGTACTCATCACATACAAAGTTAAGTTTCCATCTTCTTGAATTCCCTTGATTTCTGACCCATCATCCACTATATGTTTATCAAACATTGTCATCACCAAATTACGCATCAAATTAAACTGTAAAATAACAATAATTTACAGGCAAAAATATAACAAGAGCACCGCTAGGCGGAGCATTATATGACCGAAAGTGATTTTTTTAGTAAAGATGAAGCAATAGTAACAATGGATTTGGTAAAATGTATGAGCATTTACGTAAAAGCATGCACATTTATACATAATATACAAATTTCTTCAGGCTATTATAATTAATTTCTAAAATCATAAGTGATTCATCCAATAAAGTTTGCAGTTGTAAAACTTCGTTAACAATATTAACGTCATTTCTATTGACCTTTGCCTTTGTGACCCCAATATAGATATGGATTTTTTACTTCACAATAGGCAATCAATCCTATGAAGTTGAACACTATAAGCCAAATGAACTTTGTTATAGCTCCAGAAACACAATTTTCAGTTTTAGTCATTATGACCTGACCTTTATCTTATGTCCTAAAATCAAAAGGGGTCATGTATTTGGCTTGGTCATCCTAAATTTTACAGCTGCTAGGTTGATTAATACTTAAATTCTTGAGCGAAAATGTTTTGCAGTTTAAAGTCAATAGTAAACCTTTGACCTTTGACCTTGCTGAATCAAAAATCAATTAGGAGTCTTTCAAACAAATGATCAATACTATCCTATGAGATTGAATATTTGGGCAAATGAAACCGTTAGCGTCTGGAAACCAAATTGCTAACAGACAGACGCCAGGGGGTATAGCATAACATGCACAAAATTCTTTTGGGCATATAAAAATGCAAACTGAAATAAGCACATTCATTGCCTTTCCTTTATTATGTGAGCATTAGAACTTGAAGACTGTCATGGTCCAAATTAGCATTTGTAACAAACTTTTGGTAGTAAAATGGCTGCTTTCTTAAAGGAACTCCACTGAGGTCTAAAATCATAAAATTGAAATTCTGACAGAAATCTATATTGGGGATTTTTAATAAAAGATAAGAAGATTTCACTTAAAATGAAAAGTAAAATCAATATGTTGTGCAATTCACATTTCATGGGTCACTTTGGAGAATAAAAATGATTGTTCTTAAAATAATGGAGTGAACAAATGACCTAAAATTTTGCACATAAGTTATTTATATAGGCCAACATCCAATGGTATACAAATCTCAAAGTAATATTTCAACTGCTGCTAATTGTCAAAAAACATAAATGGAGTCCATTTAAATTTTGAGTAAAATAACATCAAAGTTTGTTGAGAATTAATCAAACCAAAACTTGTGTCTTCAGTCACTAATAAACAAGCCTTAAAATTGCAAACAATCATATGAAGTTTTTAAGAAAAATATTTGACAATTTCGAGGTATTTTGACACAAACAGTTCAAAACAAGAGCTGTCACGCAAGTTACAAATGCCACCGAAAAGGTTTCTTAAGCATGCAGGTATTATGAAAAGAAAAGAGATCAAGAGTCCGTTGAACCGAGTGATGCTCCCCTACTAGGTTTTGAACATTTGTTTGTTTCATTTTACGCCTTTTCCCAACAGTATTTCAGTCATATAGGCGGGTAGTTTCCTAACCATTTTCCTGAGAGTTACACCAGTACTAGACTACCTTTTCCTTCATGCAAAACAACAGCATCTCCGGGATCGAACCACGCAAGAGGTAACCTGATTAAGAAGTCATCGACTCTAACCTCAAACCACGGAGGCGTGTAGAAAAGTATATCTTTTTGTAGTTTCATTGTTATTTCTAGTCAAAGTTCATAGTTGATAATTCCAAAGCTGTAGGCAAGCAGAGTTCCTGTTCTTTGCACTGCACTTCTACTCAATGAGATCTATCTACTGACTTTTGCGCGACATGTCGTCTCAATATGGTGTTCATTTCTGTTATTTAGTTGTTAAATCCGACTTCAAATAACAAAGTTATGGGATGGACACGATATTGCTCCAAGGTCATTCTGTGACCTTGACTTTCAAGGTAGCGACCTAAATGTTGCACACCACATGCGTCTCAATATGGTGATCATTTCTGTGAAATAGTTTAAGAATCTGACTTCAAATAATGAAGTTATGGGCCGGACATGATTTTGCTGCAAGGTCATGCTGTGACATTGACCGTCAAGGTAGCGACCCATATGTTGAGCGTGACAAGTTATCTCAATATGGTGATCATTTCTGTGAAATAGTTGTAAAATCCGACTTCAAATAACAAAGTTTTGGGCCTGACAAGAATTTGGGACATACGTACTGTAATATCCCAGGGTCACATCTTTTATACTTACCTTGATTTGAACTGTTGTAATGTAAATCCACACTTTGTTTACTTTTGCATTCAATGTTTATACACAGTAATATTTTTTCTATGAGGATGATGAGAGTTTCTCATCATACATAATTCAACATACAGAGGCTGTCATAAATGCATAATGAATGTTTGTCTATTTAGATATCTGCTGTCTGCTTCTTTTCATACTGTAACCGATTTCTTGGACTGGAACTTTAAATGTCAGCCTCGAATGTATACAGTTTTCGCGAAATATGTAAACATCTCTGTTTATCTTTCTCAGACAAGCTAGTGTTAAATTGTTGATTGTATTTGATAAAGAAATCCTAAAAATGTCTTACCACAGAGCAAAACCACTTTATTAATCATATAATCCCTTTATTTTGTCATTGTTTTTAACAGCATTGCGAGTACACCCGTCCTCTTGCAGGCGGCCATTTTGTTACTATTTTTATATACTGTAAACACGACGAGCACTCGCATAGCAACCCTTGGATGCTGTACTTTATATGATAAAGTTTAATCTCAACTTTTTACGATGTATCAACTTATTCCTAGCAGAAAACGTAAATTTGAGGTGTGTTATATTGTTCTATGTATTCTTAACTTATTTTTTCTTTCTTCCACAAGGAAATCTGTGGAAAACCCACAAAAGAGACTGTGGGTCATGACTTTCCCACGAAAAATACTGTGGAGCGTTCCTTTCACAAGAAATTCTGTGGGCCCCACAAGAAAGTCTGTGGAGCGTTCTTTCCACAAGCTTGTGGAATTTTGGGGACTGCTGGCATATAAATAGCCCGTCTGCCTTCAGTCGGGTCTTCCAACTTCGAAATTTTCATGTACACCGTATTTTGATTGTTTACTGAAATTTGATAGCTTAAAATACTTGACTGAATTTTAAAAAGGTGTGCTTTATTTTTTTAACGTAAAATAAGTAACTTTTTCTTCTTTGAATTAAAGGAAATATAAATTTTTTCTCTTTTTACATCTGCATATACTTAATATTTTTTAGCATTTTTATCTTGGGAATTGACAGATACGCGTCATTTTAGTGGTTACGCCGCGGCTGTCCACCGTGTTTTACGACCTATTTCTATTTTTAGAAATATTTTTATTTAACGAATTTTTTCTTTCTTCTTGTTTTTCGTACATGTTCATAAAATTGGTGAAATAATATTTATCTTGCAATAAATTTGTTGATTCTATGAAATATTGTTTTCCTTTTTGCTTAGTTAAGGTGTTTCCCAAGATTGTTTTTAAAATAAATAATTTAAATTAGTTGGAAGTCCAAACGTCAAGAAGCGACCAACCGAGCAAGCATTCAAGTCGGCCCTAGTACTTTACAGTCACGGTGAGCAGCTGAAACTGTGAACATCAGCCTACGTTAGAAAAAGTCAACTCACAGCTCACATTGATAGGTTGCTAAAAAGTCTGCAAAGTCATATTGAAACAGATCCTGACAGCTCATTTAAAGAGAGATCCTACTTGATCACGGCTTAGGCTCATACCACCAAGCGCGGGGCGTAACAGTACGGATGGACTGATGGAATGACTGACTGACGGATAGATGGACGGACAACCTGGCGACTATAGGGTTCCCCCCCAATTTTTTCAGGGGCATAACAAAGCCCTGTTAAAATGCCATCCCCCCCAAAATTTTTTGCCCCATTAGAACATGTTAATGTAAGGCAAAATATTCATTTTTAAGAGGGCTTTTGGTAATGAAACTGTGGCTGAAGTAATTACAGATTTAAAACCTTTTTGATCTGAGGTGAAAATAAAAAAAGGGGAAAAACTGAAAAAATTGCAGGGTACTTTATTTTCTTTGTGCTGCACTCCTCCCCAATGAGACTATCCCCTATGAACTTTAAGTTTAACCCCTTAAACTTTTTGAGATAAAATCCGGTAAAAAAATGAAAAATAACAAAGGCCAATAACTTAAAAATTATAAAGGGTAGGGACGTAGAGTTATCATTCTTGCACACAGCATTCCTTCTCAATAAGATAAATCCACCTATGAAGTTTCATGTTGACATCTCAAAGACTTTCTGAGTTATGTTCCACTCAGGTGTGAAAAATTAAGTATGAACAAGAGCCATGTTCACATGGCCATGAACCCCGCCGAATGTGTTTGCTCATTGGAAGGATGTATATGTAGTAGAGCAGAATAATTCAATTCTAAGAGGTCTTTTGGTAATGAAAACTGATGGCTGAAGTGATTACAGATTTGAAACCTATGTGAATACTGATGGCTGAATATAACAAAGGGTAACAAGCAAATTCGTTGAATTTATATCCACCGCCGAGTACTGGTTATTATTAACACAACAACTGAAGACATAAGGCTTTATTTATATATTTATCATGGCATAAACAGTAATATTCTTTGAACTTGATAAATATTCAGGGCAATAACAGAGCCATAATTTTGTGTTAAATAGTAAAATCTGGAAATGCCAATGAGATGTATGCATACTACATAACCTAATTCAAGGGCCATAAATCTGAGTTATAAGTATCTGACCGGGAACAAGGCGACTATATGCACATCTCCTATTAGTATCCCATAAAGTTTCATTGAATTCCAGCCAGTTTAGAAGAGAGAAGTAGCGAGGAAACAAATATTTTTCTATATGGATAACTGCATAACTAATCAAGGGCCATAACTCTAAGTTAAAAGTGTCTGACCCGAACAAGCCGACGATATGCGCATCTCCTCTTGGTATTGAAGGTTCCCATAAAGTTTCGTTGAATTCCAGCCAGTAGTTGCAGAGAAGTAGCGCGGAAACGATTTTTACTCCATATGCATACTGCATAACTAATCAAGGGCCATAACTCTGAGTTAAAGTGTCTGACCGGAACAAGCCGACGATAATGCGCATCTCCTCTTGGTATTGAAGGTTCCCATAAAGTTTCGTTGAATTCCAGCCAGTAGTTGCAGAGAAGTAGTGCGGAAACGATTTTTACTCTATATGCATACTACATAACTAATCAAGGGCCATAACTCTGAGTTAAAGGGTCTGACCGGAACAAGCCGACGATATTGCGCATCTCCTCTTGATATTGATGATTCCCATAAAGTTTTGTTGAATTCCAGCCAGTAGTTGCAGAGAACTACCCTCCGGAAACGATTTTTACTCCATATGCATATTGCAAACTAATCCAAGGGCCATAACTCTGAGTTAAAGTGTCTGACCGGAACAAGCCGACGATATGCGGCATCTCCTCTTGTATTTGAAGGTTCCCATAAAGTTTCGTTGATTCCAGCCAGTGGTTGCAGAGAAGTAGCGCAGAAACAATTTTTACTCCATATGCATACTGCATACTAATCAAGGGCATAACTCTGAGTTAAAGTGTCTGAACCAGAAACAAGCCGACGATATGCGCATCTCCTCTTGGTATTGAAGGTTCCCATAAAGTTTCGTTGAATTCCAGCCAGTAGTTGCAGAGAACTTCTCCGGAAACGATTTTTTTACCTATATACATACTACATAACTAATCAAGGGCCATAACTCTGAGTTAACGGGTCGGACCGCGGAACAAGCCGACGATATGCGCATCTCCTCTTGATATTGATGATTCCCATAAAGTTTCGTTGAATTCCAGCCAGTAGTTGCAGAGAACTTCTCCGGAAACGAAATTCGGACGGACGGACGGACGGACAACGCCAAAACTATATCCCCCTCCCGATTCCATCGGCGGGGGATAATAACTGAAAAATAATGCAGGGTAGTTTATCGTTCTTGTGTGCTGCACTCCTTCTCAATGAGATCTATCCACCTATGAAGTTTTAAGTTGATACCTCTAACACTTTTTGAGATAAGCTCCGGACAAAAAGTATGAAAAATAACAAAGGGCAATAACTCAAAAATTAAAAAGGGTATAGTTATCATTCTTGCGCACAGCATTCCTCCTCAATAAGATAAATCCACCTATGAAGTTTCATGTTGACATCTCAAAGATTTTTTGGGTTATGCTCCACTCAGGTGAAAAATTAAGTATGAAAAATAACAAAGGGCCATCACTCAAAAATTATGACGGGTAGAGTTATCACTCTTGTGCACTGCACACCTCCTGAGTGAGATCTATCCACCTTGAAGTTTCATGTTGATATCTCAAAGGCTTTTTGAGTTATAATGTTTTGGACATAAATTAAGTTTGAAAAATAACAAAGGGCAATAACTAAAAAATTATGCAGGGTAGAGTTATCATTCTTATGCGCTGCACTCCTTCTCAATGAGATCTATCCACCTATGAAGTTTCAAGTTGATACTTCAAATACTTTTTGAGATATGCTCCGGACAAAAATGGCTGACTAAAAGGACGGACGAAGACTATTTCTATATCCCCCGCCGCCTTTCGATAAAAATAACAAAGGGCAATAACTAAAAAATTATGAAGGGTAGAGTTATCATTATTGTGCTCTGCACACCTCCTGAGTGAGATATATCCACCTATGAAGTTTCATGTTGATATCTCAAAGGCTTTTTGAGTTATGCTCTGGACAAAAATTAAGTATCAAAATAACAAAGGGCAATAACTGAAAAATTATGCGGGTAGAGTTATTATTCTTGTGCAAGGCACTCCTCCTCTATATGATCTATCTACCTATGAAGTTTCAAATTGATACCTCAAATACTTTTTGAGATATGCTCCGGACAAAAATGTGGGTCGGAAGGACGGACAGCGGGGATAATGAAAGTAACTTAATGTTCTTGTGAAATGAAGTGCTATTAATAACAAGCTTAAGACCTTGGGACAAGGGTCTTGGTCCTCTTGGATGCGATCATCTTGATGTGGTAGACATTTATGCCAAGTTATTTTAAAATCCTTCAATGCAAGACAATGTTACAGTTTGGAAACTAATGTGTATCTACAAACTCTTCTTATGAGCATAAAGTACTTTCAAACTATTAGAGTGAACTTGACCTTAGAGGTAGGAACATGGGTCTTACAAACAACATGTCATCTTGATGTGGTAGACATTTGTGCCAAGTTATTTTAAAACTCTTCAATGCATGACAAAGTTATAGTCCAGACAAAAAGTGTGTACATATAATCTCTAATTGTGATATTGGAACCGTCAAAATGTGTGACCTTGGCCTTTGAAGAAGGGACAATTTTCTTGGAAGCCATACAGCGCTGACATGTGATAGATATTTGTGCCAAGTTATTTCAAAATCCCTCAATGCATGACAAAGTTACAGACTGGACATGATTGTTGTGTAAGTGTGAATGCACAGACGAACAGACAGACAGGTTTTACATTTCCTACAGAAATTAATGTCTGAATTGTTTAGTAGTTGTTTTTTTTCAAATGATGCCTTTACATTGGGTCTGCTTTGATAGTTAAAAACTGACAAAATATGGCCTAGATTGCAGGAAATCAAGCGCTTAATTTCAAAATTTTCCTGCAATAATAATTTGGCCTGCTGAGCTGAAAGTTATTGAGAACCCTGATATAGAGGTCTAAAAGGAACCTTTGATAGAAAATAATACACAATTGAGTTTTACTTTGTACTTATACCTGATACAGACTACCCTTTGAAGTTCCAGCTAATACAACATCATAACCATCTAGAATCGCTGGATGTAACGAGGTAACATGACCATTGTCTTCATCAATTTCATAAGCTGCCTGAAGATTATAATTGTCCCTTCCAATTGCATAATAAACAACGTCCAGTAAGGCATTACAAGAAGAATATCCGGTTGCATTAACCTGAAACAAAAGTCTACAGGTTAGGGCTGAATTATTCTTTCAATAATCTTAATTTTAAATAATCTGTGAGATGTATTTCGTTTACAAAACAAGGTGTGAGATACACAGAAGTTACTTAAATTGGTCATTGTAAATTGAAACTAGCAAATTAGTTTAATTCATATCCCACTCAAATGATTAAAACAACTTAACCCATTACTTCATGAGCATTTTGTGAAAAATGGCTGTTTTCATTGAAAAGTCTCCCGTTACAAGTTCAAATTGCTATAAAACTATAAAAACTGCTTCAATACTAATCAAACTTGGCACATAAGTGTTGACTGGACCATTGCCTTTGCAATGCTCAGGCTTAAATTTCCTGTTACCATGGCAACGAGGGGATATCTCAAAATTGTCAAAAATCACTATTTTGTGTTGATTTTTTTCATCAAAATTGATTTCAAAGTGTTGCAACTTCTCAATGGATTGAGATAGAGTTAAATGCTTTTCAGCGTTGGTTACATGTTACTTGATGATCGATCTGGAGTCATTTTTACCTTCTCACAAGTCAAAAATTTTCTTGGCGATGAGGGGGACTGCCGCCCCCCCTTCAAACCCCCTAAACAGAAGGGGGCACTTCTGGAAGACGGACAAAACTCCACCAGTTAAAACCCCACCACCTTTAATTTTATAGAGTGGACAAAACCCCACCACTTAATTTTATAGAGTGGACATAACCCCATCACTAAATTTTACATACATATTTATTTTTGTTACGGGAGGGCTTTTGTCCGCCTTGTTAATTTCACAGGAGGGGTTTTGTCCGCCCAGTCATTTTCATGGGAGGGCTTTTGTCCGCCCTGTTATTTTCATGGGAGGGCTTTTGTCCGCCCTGTCATTTTCACGGGAGGGCTTTTGTCCGCCTTGTCATTTTTTGACGGGAGGGCTTTTGTCTGTTCCCCCCCCCCCCAAAAAAAAAATGGGGGGGGTAAAAAGGCGTTAAAAGGCATGTATATTGCATAATGGGTTAATAGAAGCTTCTTAGTAGCATAAATAATATAGAAACCACTCTTGAAACAATTAATAAATAACTATCTATTTCACAAGGTTATCATCGGGGTTTAAAACCCCTCTATTACAGTTTGCTGTTTATTTTCTAAATCACATATTTACAGTTTCTTAGTACACTATGTTACGTACAAGCCCAACATTTTTTTATTAAATGTTTTACAGGACATTTTTTTTAAAAATTGGGTCCGGGGGGATAAATAAAAATAAAAATAAAATTCAATTTTTTTATCAGTCGACCACTTAATAAAATAATATGATAATAAGGTTGAATTTTTTAATTTCAAACATTTTTTTTAACACTCCAAAAACAGATTTTTTGTCCATACAATCAATGATTTTATAGTTTTGAAGTATTTTTGACATGATTTTAAACAAAATAATTGGAAAAAAAATGTTTTAAGTCATTTTTGTTTTTGTTTTTATAGCTATTTTAAAGCTGATCAGTTTTTTTTTAGTTTTTCTTTTTCCCCCAATTTTCCCCAAAAAACTCCAAATTCATTGTTTATGCCTTCAATTCAAGAGTATCCAAACAATGTGTATGCCAACAAACTTGCAACCGTAGAACCACTAAAAACCTTTATACCTTACTGATATTCCTCACGGGAATCCAAATTAAATTCCTGACAGGGGTTTAACCACAAAAACCCCACGGGGGATATTTTAAAGGAGAAACCCAAACCTTAACATACAGCCTAACGTCCCCATTCCGGGGCAGTCCCGGGAAAAAAAAAGGGGTCTGTCCCCGGAGATTGATTTATGTCCAAGTAAAAAAAAAAATCTAAAATAATCTACTTTGAAGCAAGAAATTTTACATTTTTATATAATTCTATTGTCAAGTTTTTATAAACTATTCTAGAACGCTAATTACCAATGATTATCCACATTGCAATGGTGACACTAATCCTTTGATTGGTATTTCCAACAAACAATTATCGGCAATAAATTTGATCAATTAAAAGATTAATTGTTTACGCCCTGTGGCTTCCTGAGTGAAGGTGTCATACACTGTAATTAACAACTGGCCAGTATAAATTTAATCCGCCTGGAGGCAGTTACTAGTGGTCAAACACAGTGTAAATTACCACTACCCGGTAAATATGAGGTGATGTAATCTATAAAATTCAGCGAATGTCATGATTGTCATTACTTAACAAGCTTTATTCTATTCTGTGACTGATTGAATTAACGATGCCTAAATACTTAAAAAAAGATAGAAAAAACTGTTAATAATTATTGACATTCTGTCTTTTGTTATGGTGTCATTAAATTTGCAAGTTGTAATTACCGGTTATATAGGTTGTATGCCACTATGTAAATTAAAAAAAAATACGTTTGCTGATCAATGCCCCACCTCCAAATGAAAAGTGTCCCGGAAATGAGTCTAAAAATTATGGCATGTATGCCATTTAAAGAGGTACAAACATAATAATGTACAATGTTAGTTTCACAAGGTAAATTGAATCAACAACTTCAAATTATCTTTAAGAGAGTAAGTTCTGTATGTGCAAAAAAAATTCAATTTCTGAAAATTATTCATACTTCAAATGATTAGTAAAATGAAAGCCATTGACAGTAAATAGAAAATCAAATGGCATACATTGTTACAAAATCAGGGTTTTCTGCAGGCAATTTTTTACAGAAATGTCAAAAAGGACTTTAAATATGCTCATAAAAAAGACCAATTATTTCAATATTGATCTAGTAAAAAATTTCTAAAAATACACATTTCTACCTGTCATGATACTAATATTAACTTAATAAATGTTATAGATGACTGTGTTCAATTATAAAGAAGCCTTGTATTTCAACAAGACAACAACAAAAACAACTTTCAGGAATTTATCATTTTCGTATAATAAATTAATCAATTGTTTTCAAAGATTCATAATAAATAGTTTTCACTATCAATTTACTAACAATAAATCTGCAATGTAAGTAGAACTCATATGAGTCGAATTTTGATTACTTATTTTCTCTCAATATGTCAAAGTAGAGTGTAGGACAAAAGCCCCCCCGGACGAAAGCCCCCCCCCATCTAAAAATGACAAGGTGGACAAAAAGCCCCCCCCCCCCATGAATTTTCCACATAAGACAAAAGCCCCCCTCTAAAAAAGTAAAGGTAGGACAAAAGCCCCCCCATGGTCCATCACATTTACATTTTAGTGTTCAATGAATTAATATCTGCCTTTTTTCAATTAATTTGGTTATTTTGTTATATATATTTAATTAACAAATAGAAAACATATATTTGTATATGCATGTTTTTTTCAATAAAATTGTTTATTTTGTTAATTTGTTCAAAATGATACATTGTGACATGGCATACAGAAATTGTGCCATAGTCTTCTCACCCTTGTCAAACTGCTGACAAAGAGCCTTCACTCTGTTCTGGTGGATGATGAAATAACCAAATTAATTGAAAAAAGGCAGATATTAATTCATTGACACTAAATGTAAATGTGATGGACCATGGGGGGGGGGGGGGGGCTTTTGTCCTACCTTTACTTTTTTATGGGGGGGCTTTTGTCCTATGTGGAAAATTCATGGGGGGGCTTTTGTCCACCTTGTCATTTTTAGATGGGGGGGCTTTCGTCCGGGGGGGCTTTTGTCCGTATCCCCGTCAAAGTAAATTTAAGTCCAGATTTTCCCCTTATATTTCTTTTAAAAAACCTATACATGAGTCTAAATTTTAATGTGTCGAAGTATTCTCATGGTCCGTGGTAAATCGAGTAATATTTCATTTTGACACCTAAGTCGATCAACCTCTTTGATCCCGTGCCCATTTAATTTTTAACAACTGTTCTGACAGTGAAGATAATTCAAATCAACTTGTGCAATGGATGTTAATTACCAGTCGTGCTTTCTAACAGCTTTACAGGCTATCATATTTTGTTTGATAAAATATTTATTACTCATATTGCCATAGTTGTATAGAAAACAAGTTTCGAAAAAGCAGCGAACTTCCAAGACCCGGTGTCGCATGATATTCACACGGGTTAATCTATTACAAGCTTGTAAAGTTATTGCCCTTCTTTTAACCCTCTTCTGGTGATTGGCTGCTGATTTTGCTAACTCTTTTTTACTCTGGTTGACCTTTATCGTACCTAAGGATGGCAGCCTCGGACATTGCTGCATCTTTCTGTAGACACCCTAGTATCGTCCATAAAGATGGATTGTTATGACCAACTTAATGTTTTAAGGAATTGTTCCAAGACTCGCACATATTGTTGGTTCTTTCATATTTACGATATAAATTTACGTGACTTCAAATTTTTCTCTTACAGACTTTAGCATTTCATGTCCGAATGATCCGATACGGCATAAGACCAACAACAACAACAAAAATATTGTATATAATTGCAATATAAAGAAGAAAAAACACACAAACAAGTATTTAACATACATAATTATATTTTTATGTTACGGGAGGGCTTTTGTCCACCCTGTTATTTTTACGGGAGGGCTTTTGTCCACCCTGTCATTTTCACGGGAGGGCTTTTGTCAGCCTTGTCATTTTTACGTGAGGGCTTTTGTCCGCCTTGTCATTTTCACGGGAGGGCTTTTGTCCGTCCTGTCATTTTCACAGGAGGGCTTTTGTCAGCCTTGTCATTTTTGGACGGGAGGGCTTTTGTCCGGGAGGGCTTCTGTCCGTCTCCCGGCAAAAGCCCTCCCGCAGCAAATACATATATGTACGTTGAATAGTGTATATTTTCTTTTCAATGCACTCAACATATTAAAATTGTGATTATGAATATTTTTGTTTTCCATTGGCATATTAGCGTGTTTTTGTTCATGAGAGGCATCTGAAAAATTAGTGCTAAAATCTGTAAGTGCACATTTATTCACGTAGATATGATGGATTTCTCCTATGTTAAGTTAAGAGTAACAGAGTAATAAATGATGAAAAGAAGTTAAAATTATCTAACTTAAAAGTTAAAGACATTTATAAT